GAATCCCAGCAGCTGCTTCGCTCCTAGAAAATGCAAGTTTCCTGGGAGAATGCCTGGGGTGGGGGAGGCAGTTCAGGGAAGCACTGACATCGATTCAGGACAGGCCTGGGGCCTCCTGGGGTGGCAGTGGCAGCCCCAGAACAAGGACACCAGCTCCAGGCTGCATCCCTGCACCATCACTGGGGATTGGGAGTGGGCAGTGCAGGCTCCCTCAGGGAGCTCCAGGCTGGAGGGCTGGGGCCAACCCAACCCCAGGTGCTGGGGGTGAATCCTAAAGGTGTGAGTCACATCCACTCCATAAGGCACCACTCTTCGACAGCCACGTCCTAGAACACACGAAGACTTTCTATAGGAAGGTTCTCTGGCTCCGATTCTCCGCCATCCCAGGGAGGAAGCAGAGACCAACCCGTGACGGAGTACGTGTCAGGCAGTATCCCCACGACAACCCTGTGAGAACGGTGGCGTTCTCCCATTTTCCACGTGGGGAATGAGGGCTCAATAGAGCCCTCTGCTGTGTGACGTGTCTTGCCCAGGTCACGCAGCAAGAACACGAGCCGGGTTTCAAGCCCAGGCCTGTTGGGCTCCAGAGCCCATGTGTGTGTTCTCTAGGGAGAAACAGGAAGGAGTCCTTCCAATAAAGACCCTCATATGAAAAGCTCAGGGGCTCTCAGCCCACCCTGGGTGGGCCCCAGGGTCAGAGCTGGACCCCATCCAGGAGAGCAGCCATGGCCCCAGCATCCACTCCTGGCCCAGGCAGCTGGGCAGGCAGAAGGAAGGCTGGAGAGTGACCGCCGTACACACGGCACCGGCAACCAGCGCTACAGGTGAGGGTTCTGGCTGTCCAGCAGCTGTGGGTGGGGCGAAGGCCGGTCTGGTCTTGAGGCCTTGTGGCCCCAGGTAGGCAGGGCCAGCCCATTGAGCCAGGTGGTCTCCAGCAGACTGCGGAAGCCGGCCTTCAGCCTGCGGCCAGGTGGGCTGGTGCTGGCAGGAGGGGTAGCGGAGGCACCACAGGACTCTTTCCCAGCAGCTGCCTCTGCTTTCTCTGGGCCAGGCCTTGGTGGCTTCCTCCCTGGCTTCCTGACCTTGGGGGCCGGTGACTTCCGAGCCAGGGCAAGTTTCTCTGGCTCATATCTGGCCACAGTGGGCTCTGAGGGGGACACAGCTCCAGCCTCAGTGTCAAAGTCACCTGCAAAATGAACACATAGTCAGGTTGCAGACCCCGTACCCTCAGGTCCCACCTCCTGGCCTCCAGAGCCCCCCCCATACAGTGCTTCTGCTCTGCCCCACATCAGGCTGGCATCACACCTCTTCCCCACATGTGCCTACTGGCCAGACCATCCAAGCCAAAAAGATGGGCTTCTCCGCAGGTGACCCCAGAGCTCTATCTGATGCAGGCACTGCTCAGGAGAGGCTGTTTGGGTACAAAGATGAGAGGAAAGGGGCTCAGCAGTTCAGGAACCATTGGCGTGGCCCAATACCCACTGTCCAGATGGGAAAACTAAGGCATGGGAACAGAGGGCCCTGCCATACATAAGACCGCCATCATCTTTATGCCAGCCCCAGAGCCAGAACCCAAGCCCAGGCCCAGGCCCAGGCACGGACTGCCCTAAAAGCCACGCTGGGGAGCGCAGGAACCTGGAAGAAAGGCAGGCCGGAATCACTGTCTAGGGGCACACACAGAAAGGAGCCCCCAAGGATGGGGGGAGGGAGTGAGAACAGGGGCAACACTATTCAGCCAGAGGCAGGAAGCCTGGTCCCAGTCACTTCCTTCCCAGGCCCCCGTCTCTTGCAAGCTCCACTCGGAGCAGGCGGGGACTGTGTGGAGGCCAGACTCCACTGCCCACCAGGCAGCCCAGAAGACAAGGACCTGACCCTCTTTGGACCCCAGACAGCCCAACTGTATGGGGAAGAGGACTGAGCTGGGCAGCCCAGCCCTGAGTGATGCCTGACCCTCACACTCAGTGGTAACAGAACGCCTGAGCCTGGATTTCTTTTGCATCCCAGTAAGGCATCTGCTCCAATTCTGTAAATGTTCAGGGTTCAGGGATGCTAGTCAGCCAGGCTGCTGATCAGCATCTACATCTCACTGCCTCAGGCCCTTCTCCATCCTGACCAGGTAAGGGCCAGAGCAAGGCTGCTGCTATGGGGATGGAACTAGGAGGAACAGTTTCTACAGGAAGAGGCGGATGGAAGAGGGTGGCGGTGGAGGCCACAGGGAGAGTAGAACTAGAGGGGGCCTCAGGCCGTGATGCCAGGTGTACTGACGCAGGAGGGACAATGGCGGAATCCCGTCGGTCCCATCATCAGATCCCTAGCTGAAGAAGTGTGATCATACATACCACGGGACACTTCGGCAGTTGTGTGATCCTCCAGGACATTAAAAAAACAAGCTGGAGAATAGTAGACACAAGACGACGAGTAGAGGAAAAACAGACCACAAAACGACGCAGCCTATGGGCACTTTTGTGCCGTCAGGGCTGAGGACTGCAGAACCGCTCGGTCAGAAAGGCACCTGTGACCCTCAGGAGATCTCCCGCATGAGGAGCTTTGTGAACAGGGGTGCCCTTCAATGACGTGGAAAAGACTGAGGGTGGCGACTGAGGAAGGCTCAGGAGTATGATTTGGGATAAGTTCAGTGTGGGAAGAGACCCGGCGCAGAAGACCAGCAAGCAGTGGGTTATTTGGGGCGAAAGCTCAGAAATCGGGAGGCCGGGCTAGACTCAGGGAAATGATCTCAGCTAGAAAACAGGGTCTAACCAGAGCACCGGGAACACCACACCCAAGACGGAGACGGCACAGGCAGAGGAGGGACCCAGGAAGGTGCAGCACCAGGGGAGGCCGAGTTTCCATGGGGACAGAGCAGCTGGCACTTTCAGAGGACTAGAAAGGAGGCTGTGAAGGTGCTCACTAACAGTCTGGAGGGTCAATGAGCGGGGGTACCTAGAGCCCACCCGAGAGCCCCCTGCCCAGGCAGGAGTCCCTGGAATCACTCAGCCCCAGCTGTGACCACTCACACAGCACACACACCTGTCACTTGCTCACACCGCTCCGGTGGCTGCTGGGGCGGCCCCATGCTCACCCAGCTGGCGGCGTACACAGTCACGCCACTGCAGGCCGAGAAGGTCAGGGTAAATGTCGGGCAGCTGGCGCAGCGCCAGCAGCTTCAGCATGCGTGAGGTACAGCCCGGTAGGGCGAGCTCCCGAAGTGCCCGCTCCTCCGACAGTGTGTTGGGCCGCAGCTCCACACGATGCTCCTGCAGCACATGGTCCACAGAAGCAGGTGGCAGCCGAGGGAAGAGCCGCTCCTTCACCAGGTGGATGGGCACGAAGATGGCGCCAGCTCACACCACGTGGGGGAAGGGGCACCGGTGGGTGCGATCGAAACACTGCAGCTGGGACAGCAGCTTAGCCAGCAGTCCCTGCACACCCTGGCAGTCCTGCCACGCAGCCTGGCCCCAGGGCCCAGCCGTCTCTAGCCACTCTCGAAGCTTCTCTGGAGGAGAGTGGGTCACTGAGCCTGAAATAGCATCACACAGCGAGGTGTGTAGTCCTGTAAAGTGCTGCTCCGGGGAGTCCTCTGCTGCGGAAGTAGATGCCGGAGCAGGGCCTGGAGCAGGGGCAGGGGCAGGGGCAGAGGAGGCCACAGCTGCGGCTGGAGGGCTGGGCAGTGCCAGAAGTCTGTCTCTTCCTCTGTAAAACAGGGATAATAGTATGTGCCTCATGGACCCTGGCAATGCTTCCGTAAAAGTAAGAGACAGCCAGAGAGAATGAGAGAGAAATGTGTATTTACGTATGACCAAGAATTGGAAATAAGAAGTATGTGAACAGAAACCAATACTCACTAGCTCGCCTCACAAAGTTCCTATTACAAAAGAAAGGAGAAATGCTAAAGTCTCTCACTTTCTAAACTACAACCATGGAAATAATGGCTGCTATGGTTTTTGTCCTTGTATACAAAGCAGAATCTCCGGTTTTCAGAAAATGATGGAACGGGGTCCTGCTTCAGACTTAGAATACAAGCGGGAGAGGAACAGGAAGTCAGAGATAGGTTTTGCTCTTACCTGCACAGTAGCTTCATTGGCGGTGTCCCAGGCGGTGACCGTGTCAGCGGCAGTCGGAGGCGTCTATGGTGCGTGGCCGGAGTCCCAGGCGCGGATGGCATTGGCGGCGCGGTCGGCGCCTCGGAAATGTCGCCGGTGCAGTAGGCTGATCGGAGGCACCCACGGCGCGGTCAGCGGTTCGGCGGCTTTCCAGCCGCTCACAGGGTCAGCGCCGTAATCGGCACAGTCCAGGCTTCGGCTGCGTTAGCAGCGATGGAGGCGCGGTCCGCGCCGGCGGCGTCCAGGGGTGTCTATGGCGTCAGCGTGGTCGGCGGGTCAGTGATGTCACGGCGCGACGCCGGCGTCTACGGTGCGTCGGAGGCGTCCCAGGCGCCGACGGCATCAGCGGCGCGGTCGGCGCGTCGGGAATGTCAGCGGTGCAGTAAGCTGGTCGGGTGCATCCACGGCACAGTTAGCGGTTTGGCGGCTTCCCAGCCGCTCACAAGTTCAGTGCCGTCGGTGGCGCGGTCCGCGCTTCGACTGCGTCAGCGGCGTTGGAGGTGCGATCCGCGCAGGTGGCGTGGGGGGGTGTTTTATGGCGTCAGCGTGGTCCGCGCGTCAGTGACGTCAGTGGCGCGACCCCGGCGTCTACGGTGCGTCGGAGGCGTCCCAGGCGCGGAATGCATCGGCGGCGCGGTCGGCGCGTCGGGTATGTTGGCAGTGCAGTAAGCTGGTCGGGTGCATCCACGGCAGGGTTAGCGGTTCGGCGGCTTCCCAGCCGCTCACAAGGTCAGTGCCGTCGGTGGCGCGATTCGCGCTTGGACTGCGTCAGCGGCATTGGAGGCGCGATCCGCGCAGGTGGCGTGGGGGGGGGGGTGTTTTATGGCGTCAGCGTGGTCGGCGCGTCAGTGACGTCAGCGGCGCGATCCCGGCGTCTACGGTGCGTCGGAGGCGCGTTCGGCGCGTGCAGAATGTAGGCGATGCAGTAAGCTGGTCGGGTGCATCCATGGCGCGCTTAGCGGTTCGGCGGCTTCCCAGCCGCGCAAAAGGTCAGTGGCATCGGCGGCGCGGTATGCTGGTCGGGGACATCCGCGCCGCGGTCATCGGTTTGGCGGTGGGGTCCCCGGCGCTGACGGCGTCCGCGAGGTCTGCGGCGCGATGGTGGCGTCCCAGGAACGGTCACTACGTCGGGGGTGTACGCGCCGCGGTCTGCATAGTGGGCGTCTCTGGCATGTTGGGGATGTTCGCGGCGCGGTCGGCCTCTGCCACGCGAAGGCGACATCCGAGGCGCTGCGGCGGCGTCGCAGGCGCGGGTGGAATCAGCGGTGCAGTCGGCACGTCGGGAGTGTAGGTGGCGCGGTAGGCTCGTCGGAGGCGGCCGCGAGTGGTCAGCGGGTCGGCGGAGTCCCAGGCGCCACAGCGTCAGTGGCGTCGGCGGCGCGGTCCCGGTCAGCAGCGTCCAGAGGGTCTGCGGCGACCGCGCGTCGGGGGCGCCCAGAGAGTCTGTGGGGAGACAGCGGCGTCCGAGGCTCGGTCGGTGCGTCGGCAGTGACTGGGCATCAGCGTCGCGGTAGGCGCGGGCGGCTCAGTGGCGCGGGCCGGTGCGTCGGCGGCGCGCTAAGTGAAGCTTTACCGTGACGTCCAGGCAGCGTTTCCGAGGTGAGTGTCGCCGCGGGGCTGCGGTCGGGATCTGCACTGAAAGTTGAAGGTCTACTAGGAAGTCGAGGTTTAGGGGGAAGTCCACTCAGCCTTTCCGAGGTAAGGGCGCCGCGCCAAGCCGGGAGAGCGGTGAGTCCGGGAACAGAGGCGCACAGCTGGGTCGATGTGCGTGCCGGCGGCCTCCACAACTTTTGCTGTGCCAGCGGGGCGGGCGCGCCTGGCCCCCCGAGCGCTTAAGTTGCCTGCATTGGATTCCTAGCCTGCCACTGCCGGCCGCAGCCCAGCTCTCGTGTGCTCTGGGGAAGAAACTCGTGGGCGAGTCTTCCTGTGGCATCCCAGGAGGTGGAGGGATGGAGCAGCTTCGGTGGCACATCCTCCTCGATCTGGTGGAGGACATTGACCCTTTGCCCCACCTTGGAGGCCAGAAATTGGTTCCCTCTGGGGACCTGAGGGGCGGGAGATCTCAAGCCCCAAATTTGCAAAGTTGGGGTCTTTATTGGCCTCCGGGATTCCGCACCTGGCGCGGTCTCCAGCTTGGTGGGGGGCAAGCCAGGTGTGCCAGATCCAGGAAGCACTAGGGGAGCGTTTGTAGCCGTCGCTGAATCGCCTCAGGACTAGCGGGGCAAGCCTCAGATGACCCGCAGCATTTCCAGTAGGTTAGATTGTGGTGCTGCTGTTTGCGCTCCAAAGAGTTGCTGTGGTTTCCCTGTGTCTGTCTGCCTTGGGAGCTTCTCAGATCATCTGGGTTGGCATCCTCTCACAGAAGAGTTAAGCAAGACTTTTGGAATGCTTTCCTCCATTTCCTTCTGTGTTTTGCTGGTAAAGCTGCTTTCAAAAGGAAGTCTTTTCTTGCAGTGCTATCTTTTCTTTGACTCCCAGTGCTTGACGAAGTTAAAGAAAAGTAATCTGCTGGTAGTTTTCATCTTTGTTCTGAGCTGATACGCGTTAGTAGCTTTCTTTTGTTTTTAAATTTTATTGGTAAAATTTCAGCTGTGAACCAGAAGCTCGTTTTTTCTCTTCTAAAACGGTAGCTTTAAGATTTCTGAGACCTTTGTGTCAAAGAAGTCTTGGGAAAGTTACTCAAGTCTACAGAGGAAGCTCACAATTTTAAATGTACAGGTGGTCCCGGGACCGTGGATCACACCTGTAATCCCAGCACTTCCGGAGACCAAGGTGAGCAGATCAGTTGAGCCCAGGAGTTCCAGACCAGCCTGGGCAACCTAGCAAACCCCGTCTCTACTGAAAAGACAAAAATCAGCTGTGTGTGTGGTGTGTGCCTGTAGTCCTAGCTACCCGGCAGGCTGAGATGGGAGGATCACCAGAGCCTGGGAGGTTGAGATTACAGTGAGCCATGATTATGCCAGTGCACTCAGGCCTGGATGGCAGAGTGAGAGCCCGTCTCAAGAAAAGAAAAGAAATACAGGTAATGAATTTACACTAAGTAAATTTCACTACGTATCAAGAAATAGAACATTTCCAGATTGGTGTATAAATGTAGGAGTGGCATTGTTGGTTTTAGAGGTATGTGAATGACAAAACTTTAGTATCAGTTATTGTTGATCATTTTCACAAAGTGGTTGTACCGCTTAGCTGGGAATATTCTGGTTACCCCACATCTTTGCTTATTCTTGTCCATTCAAAATTATTTTGCCATTCTAGTAGAGGTGCAGTAATATATCAGTGTAGTTTCATTTTGCATTTTCCTGGCATTGAGATTGTGTATTTTTATTGCCATTTATATGTCCTCTTTTGTGAAGTGCCTGTTCAATCTTCGTATCCTGTTTTCATTGATATGCTTGTTTTTCTGTTGATTCCTAATACTTTATTCTGGATGTGTCTCCTTTTTAGGATATATATGTATTATATGTATTACATTTCTCGGTTTTTCAAACTGTAGCATGCCTTTTCACTCTTTTAATGGTGTTTTTATGTGAATGGAGATTCTCCAGTTTTCTTTTGTTTTTGAGGCAGGATCTCATTCTGTTGTTCAGGCTGCAGTGCAGTGGCACAATCACAGCTCAGTGTAACCTCCACCTCCCAAGCTAGGCTCAAGAGATTCTCCTGCCTGAGCCCCCAGGTAGCTGGGACCTACAGGGAGCACCATTATGCTCAGCTCTTTTTTGTATTTTTAGTAGACATTGGGTTTTAACACGTTGCATAGGCTGGTCTGGAATTCCTGGGATCAAGTGATAATACCTGCCTTGGCCTCCCAAAGCGTAGGGATTACAGTCATGAGCCAGTGTACCCAGCCTGAGTTTCTTAATTTTAATGAAATTATACTTGACCAATCTTTTCGTTTACAGTGACTGCGTTTTGTGTCCTGTTAATCAATGCCTAACCTAAGAATTTGAAAACTTAATCTCATAGCAATTTTAGTTTAGTTTATGCTTCCCCACCCCCCCACCCCTGTGCCCCAGATAGGCTGTCACTCTATTGCCCTGGCTGGAGGGCAGTGGCATAATCTCAGCTCACTGCAACCTCCACTTCCTGGCTCAGGCAATCTTCCCCACTCAGCCTCCTGAGTACCTGAGACCATAGGCATGTGCCACCATGCCTGGCTAAGTTTGGTTTTTTTGTAGAGATGGGGATTCACCATTTTCCCAGGTTGGTCTCAAACTCTTGGGCTCAAGTAGTCTGCCCGCTTCAGCCTCCCAGAGGGCTAGGATTCGAGCCAACCCACCCACCCATGATTCACTTTTTACTACATGGATGTGACTGACAGCTTGATCCAGAACCATGTATGGAGAAGACCATCTTTGTCCTTCTGCACTGTGTAGCGCTTTTGTTCATCAATTGGATGGCTGTATGGTCATCTGATTGAGGAAATCAGTGTGGGTCTGTTCCTGGACCAACCTGGGCAGCATAGCAAGATCCAGTCTCTACAAAAAATAATAAAGAATAAAGAAATACATGACATTTTTTAAGTGGGTAGAGCAGATGGAGTCATAGGTGGTAATTTATAAACTATTGTCAATTTCTTGGCTACATAGAGGTGTTGGTAAGTGAGATCTGTTGGGAGTTCAGGCAAAATGTATTAAGTGAATTCTTTGGTGTTCAGAATGATTGCTAGATGTTCCTTGTGACTTCAATTAGATGTTATTTGCGTATCACAGAGCTACAGGTTTTATTCTCTTTTTATTTATTTGTCTTTAAACATTTTTACAATCTTCCTGTCAAGGCAGTACCTCTTTTATACTTAATTGTTCTTAGGTATGCTTAATCACCAGGAAAATTTTATGGATCATACCTAACTGTTAAGCCACTTAAAGGGCTGATGTGATATAATGTAGACGATAGGATTCTACATAATAGTTTCACGAGTATATCGATTAAATTGTTTCTTCTTCTCCTTTTTTTTTCTCCTTGAGACAGGGTCTGGCTCTGTTGCCGAGGCTGGAGTACAGTGGTGTAGTGGTATGATCGTGGCTCACTGCAGCTTTGACCTCTCAGGCTCAAGCAGCCTCCCACCTCAGCCTTCTTAAGTAGCAGGGACTACAGGCATGCACCACCATGCCTGGCTAATTTTGTATCTTTTGTATGCAGGGTCTTCCTATGGTGCCCAGACTGGTTTGAAACTCCTGGGTTGAAATGATCCTCCCACCTTGTCATCCCAAAGTTGTTGGTATTACAGGTGTGAGCTATCACACCTGGCCATTTTAGTTTTAATAATTTTATATTTTTGTAACTTAGAATATTTACTAAGTCTATTTAATTTATGAATATGATATTCATTATGGTTGTTTTGTATGCATTTAATCTCATTTTAATATAAGGTCTTGGAAATCAGAGATGTTGTTTCTTATTTGGTACCGTGTTCTCAGTACTTGACCTTGCCTGGTATGATACAGTTATTGAAACAGTTGTTAAATGAATGAACGAACCACATTCATAAATTCTCCAAGTATCACAGCGTTCACCATCTAACGAATAAAAGAGCTTGTCTAGAGTAGAGTCACAGTTAACCTGCCATACAAGGAAATGTCAATGAAAATCGACCTTTGTATGTGTAGCTGCTAAGATTTGGGGGCTTTTGTTACTGCAGCATAAACTAGCGAAGCTCAGTGAGATGGCAGATAGAATACACACACACACACACATATATAAATAGACCGGATGGACCAGTAGATGAGATTCCAAAGATAATTCATTCAGCATTAACTAACCACACCTACACTCTTAATTTCCTAACAGAATGAATGCAATTCCTGTTCACTAAGATCTGCCTCCAAGAGTACTTTGTGAAAACTTCTCTGGGTATGCAAGTATTTAATCAGGACCTTTTCTTTTTCCTCCTGCAGGTTGGAGTGCAGTGGTGCCATCATAGCTCACTGTAACATCTAACTCAAGGCTCAAGGAATTCTCCTGCCTCAGTCTCCCAAGTAGCTGAGACTGCACGTGTGCACCACCATGCTTGGCTAATTTTTTTTTTCCAGAGACAGGGTCTTACTATGTTGCCCAGGCTGGTCAAGAGTGTTGATTGCGTACGACAGAAACCCAGCCAACCCTAGTTCCCGCCACCCTTCAGTCTGCTCCTTTCTTAGTCTTCCGAGTCTCAACAAATGGCAGTTTCATCCTTCACGTTGCCCAAGCCCCAAATCTTAATGTTAACCTTGATTTCTCTTTTATGTCATAGCTTATATGAAGGCCAATCATGTTCAGACCCTGGCGGAGGTTCTTGCTGACCCAGGCTCTCACCGGCACATTGTCCTTTACTGTCCTCCTGAGGGCGTCTGAGCTTCAATGCTGTGTGCTCTGGGCCTCCATGCTGGGGCACCACCGACTCTCGGTGTCCAGGGCTTCCAGTGGACTCTCCGAGGCACTGATGTAGAATCTTCCCCATTCAGCGCACCAAGAGCAGCCTCCCACGGTGTGGGGTGACATGAAGAGCTGTCAGATCCAACAGGTAAAAATCATGAGGCACTGCCAGCTGGATGGGGTCAGAGAGTCCTCTCTCTATTGGGATTCAGATGAGAAGGGAAGATTCCTTAGGCCCTAAACATCGCAGCATGACCAGCGTGTGCCACCGACGAGATGTAGTGCATGGTCAGGTGGAAGTTATTTGACTTCAGAAGAGGACGGTTTCTCTTTAGGCCTTTTTCTCAGTCCTTCTCCTCTCTCTTCCCCCTCACCCCCTAGTCTCCATCCCCATTTGTCTCTCTTTTCACCTGCTTTCTCCTCTTCAGCTTTCATGGTTCTCCCGTCCACCCGCATTTTCCAGGCTAAGGCCCCTGCACTGTCCTGGGTGGGGAGATGTGTCTGGATTTAGGCGGTGCCTCTAGATGTGTCCAGGATGGGGAAACATGGCTCGGCTGCCTGTATAATCGTTTCAGAGTGTGGCCACTTTTGAAGGCCTTTCAATATCCCATTCTAGAATGGTGTGGGACTTAAAATTGATGGGCCACTGTGGAATTCTTGGTTCCTCAGGACCTTGTGGTGGATGCCATCTTTCACTGAGCATTCACAGGGTGGCTGTTGGTGCCAGGCCCTGCTCTGGGCTAGGGGCACCATAATGAGTAAATACCAGGTCGCTATCCCATGGAACCCACCACTGCAGGCATCAAGAGGGGGAGAAAGAAAGCGATGTGGCCTGTTTGTGTCCTTCTCATATGGTCACCTGCCAGGTCCTGGGGGAGTGGGAGCCAGTGCAAGGAGAGAAGCCCAGTGAGAAAGGCAAAGGGACGATGTCAGACCCAGGGGCTAAGACCCCCACCTGCAGCCAGGTAGCTTCTGGAGTGGATGAGGAGCAGCAGGAAAGGTCGTGGCCTGGTGTTGAGGGGGTTCACTGTTTCATCTCATTCCTGTGGGTGCCAGAACTTATCCAAAGGGAAGACTCAGTGTCTCTAGCAATAGCAGGTCAGAGACAGAAAGTGTCCCAGAGAAGCAGGAAGGATTGTACACCATGGACACGGTGTATGGTTTTATAGTAGTGCCTCTCTCTCTCTCCCTCCCCCCCCCTCTCTCTCTCTCCCCCCCTCTCCCCCTCTTTCCCTTAGATTTCGTGTTCCTGTTAATGGAAAATATCGGTGGTGTAAGTTCCCCTGGATCTCCTCATCTTCATGTAAGTTTGTCTGTTCCCCCATCCCTCCCTTGTTTCCTTCTTTTCCTTCCTTCCTGAGTTTTTTGATCAGGGTCCTGTGAGGCTAAAATCCAGGAATGGCCTGGGAATGCTTTTTCTCTAGAGCTCAGGCCATTTTTCTGAGTTCACTACATGTATTGAAAGAGTTTGTATTCTTGTTCGTGGAGGACTGAGGGACCTTTTTCTGTGCTGGCTGTCAGCCAGGAGACACTCTGACTTCAAATGCTACCTGCTTTTCTCCTTACCTGTCTTTTCCATCTTTCAACCAATCACAACTCATGGAGTCCTTCTCAGGCGCCTCCCTTCTCTGCCTCCAGGCTCTGCGTTTTTTTTCTATCATTTTTGAACACATTTTATTTTTCTTCTTCCCCACCTCTTTTGGTTCTTCCCCTTTCCCCTCATGGCAGCATTCTCCACTTAATCCTTGTTACATCATCCCCAGAAGAATTGGTCAGATATTGCCTGTGTCACAGTCCTGAGCATCTTTAGGAGGGGCTGTCCTTGTGAGCCTGTGCTCCTCTTCACTGTCCTGAGTTCTCACAGTCATGATTGCTTTCAGCTGACCTGGCTGGCTCAGGAGAAAAACCTAAGACTTTGGAGTCCCAGAACCCATCTCTGCTCTCTCTATCTCCAAGAAAGGAAGAAAACAACAGGGATCTTCTTGGAGAAATGGCCCATGTGAGGGCCTGGACTCTCCAGCAGTTAACAGCAGAGGAATCTTTCTGAGGAAGAATGGAGGAGCTGAGAGCCCAGGCCAGGAAAGCAGGGTTGTGTGAAACACTCTTTAATCCTGTGTGCTCCCTGCCCCAATCTAGCAGCTAGTGAGTGACAGCTGACCGAGTATAAATGCCAGGACTATAGAACTGTGATAAAGGGTTTGTCCAAGGAAAGGGGCTTTTACTGTTTTTGTTTTCACAGAGGAAATTGGTATTTCTATTCTAAAGTTTTCTGAAAGTCAGCAGTGAGCTTCTGGAGGGTGAGTTACCTGCTCTGCACAGGGAGGCTGAGGCCAAGGCTTGTGTGTGGGCTCTGCTGTCACCAAGAGGTGAGGGTGCCTGGGAGAGTCTTAGTCTTTCTGGGTTTCAGGTTCCTCATGGGTAAGGTAGGGGCTTATTGTACCTCTCTGAGGTCCCTTCCTACTCTGTTTCTCTGAGTCTCCGAGGAATTGAGATGGTTTTCAGTGCTCCCTGGGACCGTCGGCCGAGACCTGACTGTGTGTGTCTCCTGCAGGAGCCTGAGCTGAGTCTACATCCTGAAATCCCAGAGCTGAGGAAAGAAAGAAAGTCAGCAAGTTTAGGGGATGAGAATAATCCACAAAGGATAAGCCATTGATAGATGAAAACCAAAGAAGGGGAGAATAAGGACAAACTGGGACAGAAGCCTCAGGGGAAATGGGCAATGCCTATGATCACTTAAATTCTCAGGAAGCAGCATGAGCTGAGCAGTGGGGACTGAGAGAGAAACTACTCCACAGGAATCTCCTGCCTCTGGCCAGGGAGAGCCATAGGGTAGATCAGAGCTGGTTTATAGTGAGGGGCAGCTTCAACTCCAGGAGGGGGAGGATGCGACCGTGCGCCCCCCTCCCTCAGACCCAGGAGCCTTGACCTCGGGGCTGCCGTAGCAGTGGATGCTCTTCAGGTCACTGTGGGTTCGAGGGAATAACCGTGCTTAGAGAAGGGTTGGAGGTGTTCATTCTTACACCGAACAGCTCTGCCCTAGGTCAGGCGCCAGAGTAAGTGTCCCTCGCTTGTATGTGAAGCAGTGATACTTTACTATTCTTCTGCACCTTCAGTTGAGGGAAGTTTCTCATAAATATTTATTGAGTATTTAATTTTCTTTATACTGTGCTAAGCACTTGGGATTCAGCTATTTAATGTCTCCAAAGAAAAGCCAGTGAGTGGAAGAACACAAATATCATTTCAACAAGATACAGTAGTTCTAACCAACTGAGGTGTTGTGGCAGCCCGGAGGCTGGGAAGGTATGTCAGAGGACATTGCTCCTAATGACAGGGGGAAGCATAAGAGAACATTTTCAGATTGGCCAGGCCTGGTGGCTAATACCTATAATCCCAGCACTTTGGGAGGCCGAGGCGGGTGGATCAGAAGGTCAAGAGATCGAGACTCTCCTGGTTAACATGGCGAAACCCCATCTCTACTGAAAATACAAAAGCAGTAGCTGGGCATGGTGGTGCGTGCCTGTAGTCCCAGCTACTTGGGAGGCTGAGGCAGGAGAATTGCTTGAACCCAGGAGGTGGAGGTTGCAATGAGCTGAGATCACACCATTACACTGAAGCCTGGGTAACTAGAGCAAAACTCTGCCTCAAAAAAAAAAAAAAAATTTCAGAACAGGCTAGCCTTCCTTCAAGCTCCCACAGGAGAGGATCCTGGGGCAGGGACGGTGTAGGGCAGGCACCTCTCTAGAGAAGGGGATTTGCAGCATTCTGAGGGAAGGAGAATCCTTAGTAGACACTGGTGACAGAAATGTAGGCGAAAGGGTCGGAGGTTTGTAATCAATTTTATTCAGTCATGGATGAACACTGCTGAGAGACCCGTCTGTGCTGGGCCCTTAGCTGAGAACCATGACCACAGAGGTGAGTAAAATAGGATCCCAGCTTTCACACAATTCTCAGTCTAGTGACTGGTGATTGATGAGAAGTGTAGTCATGGTGGGTTCATTGGAACCAGTGGCCGATGCTGCATGAGATGACCTCAGTGTATGGCCTAAGCCAGTGATTCTGGACTTCAGCCATATTTCAGCATCCTGAGGTACAGTGCACCAATACCTCTGCTCCATGTTGAGTCAAAGCAGTTAACACAGCCAAGGTTTTCAGAAGACACTGATGATATCAGTAGCTATTGACTGTTTCCAGCTGGGCAAACAAAGAAGTAAATTTAATAAGTCTTCTAAATTTGTTCTTGCCATGATGATAAATAAGTTGATCTTGATAATGAATGAAATTCTGGCAAATTAATTATAACTTGCCATAATGAGAAATAACTTTATGCTGAGTACAGCAGACACACAAGCCCTTGGGGACACATGCCTGAGGATTCTGATGAGGATATTATGTCTAAATATGTACACGTTTGGACCTACAGTCCAGCTTTGAAACAATGGAAGACCTAGTTTCAAATTCAAGGTTTCTTTGAGTAGAAATTCACTTTACCTCTCTTTGCATGGCAATGGGGCCAATCTTCCCTAAGGTGCCCCTTACAAGAAAAGAAATCATGCTGGTAAGATTCCAGACTTCAGCAGACATGGGTAAGTAAGGAAGTCTTACAAATGTATTCTAGCCACCTAGTGAGAAATCAGAAATTTAGCAAGTTCACTCACATGTAGGACAGTTGTGTGCACTAGATCAGAGGCCCTGCTACATGAAGAATAGAGCCCTAACAAGGGAAAGTATTTCTTCCCGTCCTACGACATCACTGCCAACTTCAGGGAAGTGGGAACACAACCGCCTGCCTTAGGGTATGGGTTACTTTTGTGCCTGGAATGTGTCTGATATCCTGCTACCTGTACCCATTTCAGGGAGCCTTGGGAGGAGCCTGAATCACTGATGGAATTGGACTGTGCATGGAGATGGTTGAGCAAGATGAGGGTAAGTGCCGGGGCATGGCCAGGTCATACTGGGAGACAATGAGCAGCACTGATGCGGACAAAGATAAAGTCAACAGTTTGTGCTTCAGCATCAAAAACTCAAACCAAGCCAGGCGCGGTGGCTCACGCCTAGAATCCCAGCACTTTGGGAGGCCGAGGCGGGTGGATCACGAGGTCAAGAGATCGAGACCATTCTGGTCAACAAGGTGAATCCCCATCTCTACTAAAACTACAAAAATTAGCTGGGCATGGTGGTGCGCGCCTGTAGTTTCAGCTACTCGGGAGGCTGAGGCAGGAGAATTGCTTGAACCCAGGAGGCGGAGGTTGCGGTGGGCCGAGATCGTGCCATTGCACTCCAGTCTGGGTGACAACAGCGAAACTCTGTCTCAAAAAAATAAAAAAAAAATCAAACAAAAAAGGAATTTGCTTTTAGTAATAAGTATTTTTCTATTTACATGAGAATTTAATCTCAAATCATAAAAATAGTAAGTCCAGGGCATAAAACCTAAACCATAGCTCATAGTTATTCTTTCTTAATGGAGGTATCAGTAAAATCTTCTTCATAAAACATACATTGTGGTTATAAAAAGGCAAAAGTTGACCAGGTGCAGTGGCTCATGCCAGCAGTCCCAGCACTTTGGGAGGCCGAGACGGGTGGATCACGATGTCAGGATATCAAGACCATCTTGGCCAACATGCTGAAACCCTGTCTCTGCTAAAAACACAAAACTTAGCCAGGCATGGTGGCACGTGCCTGTAGTCCCAGCTACTTGGGAGACTGAGGCAGGAGAATCACTTGAACCCAGGATGCAGAGGTTGCAGTGAACTGAGATTGTACCACTGCATTTCAGCCTGGTGACAGAGCAAGACTGTCTCAAAATAAGGAAGGAAGAAAAGCAAAATTCTTAGTGAAAATCATAGGTGTACCTTAGAAGAGAGAATTAAATATAGTCAAGGGAAGACCAAGTCTCATAGTTCTCTTGTATATTCCAAAGTTCCAGGGAAATGCCAGGTAACAGAGGATATTTCCCATGCTGTTAAAGCAAGGTTGCAGACACTAATGAATTCTGGGCCCAATATTCCAGGAGGGCACACCTCTGTCCTGGAAAATTGTACAGGAACGAATACTTTTCCTTTGACTCATTCTGGTTATTCATCCAGGATCACAGAAACTAAACAATGGAAATATGGCCAAATTCATGATTTGCTAACCCTCTTCTCAGGTTTCTTACCTGACTCTTAGGATAACAGCATTACTTTGAAGCATATGATGAAGATATGCTGTCCAAATATGAGCACAGTTTTGAGCAAAATGCCTGATACAAATTGGTCAACAAACAATTACTGGATGATGATATGAATATTTACTGAATGACATGGATCCTATGAATAACTGTGGAATAATTGTTGTGATTGCTTTTATTAGCAGTGCTCAAAACTCATCTCTGTGTGACCTTGCAAGTAAGCCACATAACTGTGAACCTGCAGCTTCATCAGTTTTAAAATGAAGGAACGTGACAGATTTTCATTCTGCCACAGAATGTCAGGCCTCCCAGACACCAGAACATACATTTACGTAAAGCCTTTGATATATTTCCATGCAGTATCCCTACAGGTAGTTGGAGGATGGTGGGGGCTGCAGAGAGGCACGCTTTCCAATGGGATTGAGGCAGTCCTTCTTCCTTGACTTTTACATGAATGCTGGGCAGCCCAGGGTCACACCCATTGCACCCTCAACTCAGGCAAGCCCAGCAGCCAAACATAGGAGACTTGGGCTACAGAACAGTCTTCCAAATCCCAGGCTCAGAAAACCGAGGTGGAGATGACGGCTGAGAAAGTGAGGGGGTGGTTCAGGGGATCACTCTTCCCTACTCGTTCCTCTCATCTCAAATTCACCTTCCATTGCACAGCAACACTGAGGACCACCAACCACCCCTGACCATCACCTTGATCTTGCCATGTTTGGTTAGTGGGATGCACCCCCACATCAGTGGTGTTAGACCAACTCAGAAAAATATCTGTCAAACAGTGTTTTCGTAAGAACCGCTCATGGCCCTGTTATTTCCAATATATGGAAAAAATGAAATGAAAACAAAACCATACCAGGTTTCCAAGACTTCCCAAGATAGATGGTCACACATGCTTTCAGGAGATCTCTATAGAAATGGTTTCAATGATGCGACACCTTGAAAAGAGCTCTTCTGGGACTAGAATGACATCTATAAGTGACAAGTATGAGATGTAGTGTTCACTCACATTAAAAAACAGAATTTAAGGCTGTTTTTTAGAGGAAGCTTTGGACATAGGTACGTCACACTGGTCTTGATTGTAATGAAAAGCCTCTACTGCCACAAACATTAGTGTACTGGCACATGCCAGTAAGAAAAGTAAATCAGCATAACCATGGGATGCAGCAAGAAGAATATTGAGCCAGGAAAGAAAATATTTTTAAGAAATGAGTTACTCATTGACTTTCTAGTGGATACAGAAAAAACTGCAGAAGACTCAGAGGATATCATGGCAGTGTAATAGATTGACATCTTAAACTTGTGGAAAAGCCTTAAATTCTGTTTTAACATGTGAGAAGGACTCACATGTTTAACATGACTGACTTCATGAGTAGCATTAAGGAAGTATCACGTGTTGGGAAACTTTCTGCCTTGATGATTTTATACACATAAGAGATGAAAAATGAGGCACATGCTTAGATGTATTGGGAATGAGATGGCACTGTGGCATTGTCACAACGGTACACAAATACTGAGAGTGACTTATAGAGTAATGGTCCCCATCTGTTGTGACCTCAGGTGAGACCAGGAGGCCTGTGTTTTAGCAAACCCTGGGCAGTTGGAATGAAGGGCTCCTAAGATTCCATGACACGGCCAGCTTTTAATTCTGTTATTGCAACAGCAGACGGTTACCTGGGACACTGGCCGCTATCTCTCTCACTCTTGTCAGAGTCTGAGCTACAGGCAGCTCCTTCAGTTCTCAGCTCAAGCATTTTCAACCTTGTTTTTGCGGTTAAGGACCTTAGCTAAAGTGCTGTGAGGAGGGATCGAGTTTTTCTCAACAGTAAGTTAAGAATTTGAGTTCCTGACATCCCCCAGTCCTGATGAAACCTATTTGATTTCCAGTTTTTAACCCATCATGTGTTTGCGTTTCTTCTCCCAGTCCCTGGCCCTACCTGTGGTGCCCCAAACGTCGGCATGATAGCATCTCGCAGGACATGTTCCAGGAAGACCACAGAGGCAGACTTTCCAGATACCATCGAGAATTCCTACTCCCAGCAGGAAGAGACCAAACCAAATATCGGAGCCAGCAAAAATAGACTTCTTCTGAGTCAGGTGGCTTACTTCCTGAACTACCAGCTGAAGACCTACAGTAAGTTCTATAGGTTGACCACCATGAAGGTGATGAAGGATGTCCTGTCTTGTCTCAAGAAACTAACCGTTCTCTTAATCAAAATTAATTTCATCCTTCCCATACTTGTGGAAACTAGCAATGGGTATTTTAACATTTACTTAAAATGGAAGACAGTGGCGAAAGTACTTAGCAACTTTTCCACATCTACAGTAATGTGGGTGCAGGACTGGGTTTAAAATCCCAGTGATTGATTTCTGACACAGGCACTGAACCACCTGTTTTTCTCAGCAAAAGGCTAAATCATGTTTACAGGAATCCTCTCTGTACCATAAAAGATGCTACATACAAGTAGCATCCAGTCTGTTGGTCTTAATGTCTGAGGCTACTGAACTTCCATTTGGTTCCGGTTTCTGCTGAGGCCCAGTAGGCAAAGCTGTATTCTGGGACACTGGGAGAAACACAGTGATAGCGCACAGTACCCACTATGAGAGGCTGCAACGGGACCCTGCTCCTAATAGAACCTGTGGTATCTATAAGTGGCTCCATCAAGGGCAGGGAGTACCCTGGTACTGGTGCCTCAGCCTCCCAATCAGCTGTGATCTCCGATGGGCACCAGCACACCTGGAAAATTTTTGTATATTTAGTAGAGGCAGGGTTTCACCATGTTGGCCAGGCTGGTCTTGAACTACTGAGGTCAAGTGATCTGCCTGCTTGAGCCTCCTAAAGTGCTGGGATTCCAGGCGTGAGCCACCATGCCTGCTCCACAGATTCTTTTTTTCAGTAGAGATTGTTAGAATTCATCCCTTGGTCCAGTCTCCTATATAAATTTCTCTAACAATTCATTGGCAATGACATATGATCAGATAAATCAGTATTACACCAATGCTTCTGGAAAGTACTTAGGGCAATTTTTGAAGATTTTGGGGACAAAGGTTTAATTTTTTGCACTGACTTAGGTCAGATGATGTGACATAAGATCTACCAGATGAGGGAGATTTTGTCCCATGGATCTGAAAAGCAGGCTCATCTACTTCTAGGGTGACCTAATCTAGGGACCAGTAGAACATTCCCTTCAGAATATCACATTCTGAAACGGAGAATATTTTACGTCCTTGCGCTATGACCAAACACTGTTTTGGTCCTGTGTGAAGTGTGATTTCCTTAATGTGACCTGCTCTTTTGAATTTGTTTACAGGAGATCGAAAAGATCACGATGAAGAACAGAAAGGCAGAGACAGCAAAAATAAACTTCTTATGAGTCAAGTGGCCTACTACCTGGGCTGCCGGCTGAAGACGGAAGGTAAGTTCTCTAGGTTCACTGTCTCGAAAGTGATGAACAGTGTCCTGCCTTGTCTCTGAGAAACGATGCACTCTCTTCAGAGTTAATTTTATCCTACCCATACTTCTAGGAATATAGCAATGGGTATTTTAACATTTTGTTAAAATATGTTAACAAACTACTGGAGGACAGAGGCCAAAGTATTGAGCAACATTTCCACATCTGCAGTAAGGCAGGTGTGGGACTAGTGTTAATATCCCAGCAATTGATTCCTGATACAGGCACAGAACCACCTGTATTTCTCAGCAAGAGGCTAAATCATGTTTAAAGGAATCCTTCTAACATAGACGATCCTGCAGAACTCATAAGCAAGATAAAGGTAGAAGTGTTAATTTCCTGGTTTCAAGGTGACTGAGTAGTTAAGACAAGTTGACTTTAAAGAGAATGAGAGAGGAGGTAAGAAGAGTAAAAGCAGGGAAAGAACATCTTCAAATCAACAGGCAAGGCTGTCAGTGACATCGCTCAGTCCCGATTAAACCAACTTGATGTCACCAGTTTCTAACCCATCATGTGTTTGGGTTTCTTCTCCCCAGTCCCTGGCTATCTGTGTTCTGCCCCAAACATCAGCACAGGGGCATCTGGCAAGCCTCCTTCCAGAGAAAACACAGAGGTGAACGTTGCAGAAGGCATTGAGAAATCCTGCTCCCAGCAGGAAGAAAACAAAGCAAATTTCAGAGCCAGCAAAAATAGACTTCTTCTGAGTCAGGTGGCCTACTTCCTGAACTACCAGCTGAAGGCCTACAGTAAGTTCTATAGGTTCACCACCACGAAACTGATGAATGATGTCCTGTGTTGTCTTGAGAAACTAACCAGTTTCTTCATCAAAATTAATTTCGTCCTCCTCATACTTGCAGAAAATAGAAATGGGTATTTTAACATTTTGTTAAAGATGGAAGACAGAGGCCAAAGTATTTAGCAACTTTTCCATGTCTGCAATAAGGTGGGTGTGGGACTGGGATTAAAATCCCAGCTATTGGCCGGGCGTGGTGGCTCATGCATATAATCCCAGCACTTTGGGAGGCCGAGGCAGGTGGATCACGAGGTCAAGAGATCGAGACCATCCTGGTCAACAAGGTGAAACACCGTCTCTACTTAAAATACTTAGTCGGGTATGGTGGCGTGCACCTGTAGTCCCAGCTACTCAGGAGGCTGAGGCAGGAGAATTGCTTGAACCCAGGAGACGGAGGTTGCGGTGAGCCGAGTTCGCGCCATTGCACTCCAGCCTGGGTAACGAGCGAAACTCTGTCTTAAAAAAAAAAAAAATCCCACCTATTAATTTCTGACACAGGCACGGAACCACCTGTTTTACTCAGCAAAGGGTGAAATCATGTTTACGGGAATCCTCTCTACTGTATAAGATTTTGCAGACCAGTAGCATCTAGTCTGTTGCTCTAAATGTCTGAGGCTAGTGAACTTCTACTTGGTTCTGGTTTCTGCTGAGCCCCAGTAGGCAAAGGTGTGTTCTGGGACACCAGGGGAACACAGTGATAGCACATGGTACCTCCTGTGAGGAACTTGAAGGGGACCCTGCTCCTAATAGAACCTGTGGTATCTGTAAGTGGCACCATCAAGAACAGGGAGTACCCTGGTACTGGTGCCTCAGCCTCCCAATGAGCTGGGATCCCTGGTGGGCACCAAGGCACCTGGCTAATTTTTGTGTTTTTAGCAGAGGCGGTGTTTCACCATGTTGGCCAGGCTGGTCTTCAACTCCTGAGGTCAAGTGATGTGCCCGTCTGGGCCTCCTAAAATGCTGGAATTCCAGGCAGGAGACACCGGGCTGCCTCCACAGATTATTTTTAAGTAAAGGTTGTTAGAATTCATCCCTTGGTCCTGTCTCCTATTATAAATTTCCCTAAACATTCATTGAGCATGATATATGATGATATAAATCAGTATTGCAGCAATGCTTCTGGAAAGTGGTCGGGGCGATTTTTGAAGATTTTGGGGACAAAGTTTTAATTATTTGCACTGACTTAGGTCAGAGGATATGTGATTAAGATCTACCAGATGAGGGAGACTTTGTCCCATGGATCTGAAAAGCAGGCTCATCTACTTCTCAGGTGATTTAACCTAGGGCCTGTTAGAACATTTTCATCAGAATATCACATTCTTACACTGAGAATATTTTACATCCTTGTGCTATGACCGAACACTGATTTGGTCTTGGGTGAAGTGTGATTTCCTTAATGTGACCTGCACTTCTTAATTTGTTTGCAGGAGATCCAAAAGATTACAATGAAGAACAGAAATGCAGAGACAGCAAAAATAAACTTCTTATGAGTCAAGTGGCCTACTACCTGGGCTGCCGGCTAAAGACAGAAGGTAAGTTCTCTGGGTTCACTGTCTTGAAAGTGATGAACAATGCCCTGTCTTGTCTATGAGAAGTGATACCTTCACTTATTCAAAGTTGATTTCATCCTTTTCATAGTTTATGAAAATAGCAAAGAGTATTTTAATGTTTTGTTAAAGATGGAAGACAGAGGCCAAAGCATTTAGCAACTTTTCCACATCTGCAGTAAGGCGGGTGTGGGACTAGGGTTAATATCCCAGCTATTGATTCCCGACACAGGCACAGAACCACCTGTTTTTCTCAGCAAGAAGCTAAGTCATGTTTACAGGAATCCTCTCTGTACCATATAAGATCCTGCAGAACTCATAAGCAAGATAAAGGTAGAAGTGTTTATGTCCTGGCTTCAAGGTGACTGAGTAGCTAAGACAAGTTGACTTTAAGGAGATCAAGAGTGGAGATGAGAAGAGTAAAAGCGGGAAAACAACATCTTCAAATCGATAGGCAGTGCTGTCAGTGACATCCCTCAGTCCCGATTAAAGCAATTTGACGTCACCAGTTTCTAACGCATCGTGTGTTTGGGTTTCTTCTCCCCAGTCCCTGGCTATCTGTGTTCTGCCCCAAACATCAACACGGTGGCCTCAGGCAAGCCTCCTTCCGGAGAAAACACAGAGGTGAACGTTGCAGAAGGCATTGAGATATCCTGCTCCCGGCAGGAAGAAAACAAACCGACTTCCAGAGCCAGCAAAAATAGACTTCTTCTGAGTCAGGTGGCCTACTTCCTGAACTACCAGCTGAAGACCTACAGTAAGTTCTACAGGTTCACCACCACGAAAGTGATGAATAATGTTCTGTCTTGTTTTGAGAAAGTAACCTCTTCATCAAAATTAATTTTGTCCTTCCCATACTTGTAGAAAATAGAAATGGTTATTTTAGCGTTTTGTTTAAGATGGAAGGCAGAGGCCAAAGTATCTAGCAACTTTTCCACGTCTACGGTAACATGCGTGTGGGACTGGGGTTACAATCCCTGCTATTGATCTCTGACACAGGCACAGAACCACCTGTTTTTTTCAGCAAATGGCTAAATCATGTTTACAGGAATCCTCCCTGTACCATATAAGATCCTGCAGACAAGTAGCATCTAGTCTGTTGGTCTACGTGTCTGAGGCTACTGAACTTCGATTTGGTTCCAGTTTCTGCTGAGGCCCAGTAGGCAAAGCTGTGTTCTGGGAACACTGGGGGAAACACAGTGATAGCACACAGTACCTCCTGTGAGGAGCTCAAGGAGGACCCTGCTCCTAATAGAACCTGTGGTATCTGTAAGTGGCACCCACCATCAAGAGCAGGGAGTACCCTGCTACTGGTGCCTCAGCCTCTCCATTAGCTGGGATTTCTGGTGGGCACCAAAGCATCCGGCTTATTTTTGTACTTCTAGTAGAGGCGGGGTTTCACCATGTTGGCCAGGCTGGTCTTGAAATCTTGAGGTCAAGTGATCTGCCCTTCTGGGCCTCCTAAAAGGCTGGAATTCCAGTCATGAGACAGCGGGCTGGCTCCACAGCTTCTTTTTTAAGTAAAGGTTGTTAGAATTCATGCCTTGGTCCAGTGTCCTATATAAATTTCTCTAAGTATCATTGACCATGATATATGCTGAGATAAATCGGTATGGCCGCAATGCTTCTGGAAAGCAGTTATTGCAATTTTTGAAGACTTTGGGGAAAAACAGTTTTAATTATTTGCACTGACTTAGGTCAGAGGATATGTGATAAAGATGGACGAGATCAGGGAGATTTTGTTTCACGGATCTGAAAAGCAGGCTCATTTACTTCTGAGGTGACTTAATCTAGGGCACAGTACAACATTCCTGTCAGAATATTACATTCTTACACTGAGAATATTTTACGTCCTTGGGCTATGACCGCAAAAACACAGTGTTTTTGTTTTTTTTTTTCCTCTGAGACGGAGTTTCGCTCTTGTTACCCAGGCTGGAGTGCAATGGTGCGATCTCGGCTCACCGCAACCTCCGCCTCCTGGGTTCAGGCAATTCTCTTGCCTCAGCCTCCTGAGCTGAGATTACAGGCACGTGCCACCATGCCCAGCTAATTTTTTGTATTTTTAGTATAGACAGGGTTTCACCATGTTGACCAAGATGGTCTCGATCTCTTGGCCTCGTGATCCTTCCGCCTCAGCCTCCCAAAGTGCTGGGATTACAGGCGTGAGCCATCACGCCCGGCACTGATTTGGTTTTGTGTGAAGTGTGATTTCCTTAATGTGACCTGCTCTTCTGAATTTGTTTACAGGAGATCGAAAAGATCACGGTGAAGAACAGAGAGGCAGAGACAGCAAAAATAAACCTCTTATGAGTCAAGTGGCCTACTACCTGGGCTGCCGGCTGAAGACGGAAGGTAAGTTCTCTAGGTTCACTGTCACAAAAGTGCTGAACAATGTTTTGTCTTCTTTCTGAGAATTGATACACTCTCTTCAAAGTTAATTTGATCCTTCCTGTACTTCTAGGAAAATAGCAGTGGGTATTTTAACATTTTGTTAAAGACGGAAGACAGAGGCCAAAGCATTTAGCGACTTTCCCACGTCTGCAGTAAGGCGGGTGTGGGACTAGGGTTAATATCCCAGCTATTGATTCCCGACACAGGGACAGAACCACCTGTTTTTCTCAGCAAGAAGCTAAGTCATGTTTACAGGAAACCTCTCTGTACCATATAAGATCCTGCAGAACTCATAAGCAAGATAAAGGTAGAAGTGTTTATGTCCTGGCTTCAAGGTGACTGAGTAGCTAAGACAAGTTGACTTTAAGGAGATCAAGAGTGGAGATGAGAAGAGTAAAAGCGGGGAAACAACGATCAAATCGATAGGCAGTGCTGTCAGTGACATCTCTCTGTTCTGATTAAAGCAATTTGAAGTCACCAGTTTCTAACGCATCGTGTGTTTGGGTTTCTTCTCCCCAGTCCCTGGCTTTCTGTGTTCTTCCCGAAACATCAGCAAGGTGACATCTGGCAGGCCTTTTTCCAGAAGAAACAGTGAGTTTAACATTCCAGAAGGCATTGAGAAATCCTGGTCCCAGCAGGAAGATAACAAACCGAATATCGGAGGCAGCAAAAATAGACTTCTTATGAGTCAGGTGGACTACTCCCTGGACTATCGGCTGAGGACATGCAGTAAGTTCTATAGGTTGACCACCACGAAAGTTATGAATGATGTCGTGTCTTGTCTCGAGAAACTAACTGCTCTCTTCATCAAAATTAATTTCATCCTTCCCATTTTTGTAGAAAATAGCAATGGGTATTTTTAACATTTAGTTAAAATGGAAGACAGAAGCCAAAATAGCAACATTTCCACATCTGCAGTAAGGTGGGTGTGGGACTGTGGGACTGTGGGACTGGGGTTCCAATCACAGCTATTGATTGCTGACCCAGGCACAGAACCACCCGTTTTTCTTAGCAAGAGGCTAAATCCATGTTTACAGGAATCCTCTCTGTACCGTGTAAGATTTTACAGACAAGTAGCATCTAGTCTGCTGGTCTAAATGTCTGAGGCTACTGAACTTCCATGCAGTTTCGGTTTCTGATAAAGGTCCAGTAGGCAAAGCTGTGTTCCGCGTACCCTGGGGGAAACGCGGTGATAGCAGACAGTACCCACTGTGAGGAGCTTAAAGGGGACCTTGCTCCTAATAGAACCTATGCTTTCTGTAAGTGGCACCATCAAGAGCAGGGAGTACCGAGGTATTGGTGCCTCAGCCAGCCAATTAGCTGGGATCCCTGGTGGGCACCACCACATCTTGCTAATTTTCGTTTTATGTAGAGGCAAGGTTTCACCACGTTGGCCAGGCTGGTCTTGAACTTTTGAGGTCAGGTGATCTGCATGCCTGGGCCTCCTAAGCTGCTTGGATTCCAGGTATGAGCTGCAATGCTGGCTCCACAGATTCTTTTTAAGTAAAGGTTGTTAGAATTCATCCGTTGGTCCGGTCTCCTATACAAATTTCTCTAATTATTCATTGGCCATGATATATGATGAGATAATTAGTATTGCAGCAACCCTTCTGGAAAGTAGCACAATTTTTGAAGGTTTGGGGAGGAAAAGTTTTAATTGTTTGCACTGACTTAGGTCAGAGGACACATGATTAATATCTACCAGTTGAGAGAGGTTTTGTCCCATGGGTCTGAAAAGCAGGTTCACCTACTCCTCAGGTGACTTAATCTAGGGCCCGATAGAACATTTCAGTCAGAATATCACATTTATACACTGAGAATATTTTATGTCCCTGTGCTGTGACTGGACACTGATTTGGTCTTGTGTGAAGTGTGATTTGTTCAATGTGAGCTGCTCTTCTGAATTTGTTTACAGAAGATCGACAAGAGCATGAAATACAGAAATACAGAGAAAGCAAAAATAAAGTTCTTATGAGGCAAGCGGCCTACTACCTATGCTGCCGGCTGAAGATTGAAGGTAAGGAAGTTCTATAGGTTCATCATCATCATGAAAGTGCTGAACGATCTTCTGTCTTCTCTCTGAGAAACTGAACACTCTCTTCTTCAGAATTTATTGAATTTTTCCCATACTTCTAGGCAAATATAAATGGGTACCTTAGCATTTTATTAAAAATGGATCCGTCGGTTCAGTCTCCTCTGTAAATTTCTCTAACCATTTGCTGACCATCACATATGATGAGATAAATCAGTATTGCTGCAATGTTGTCCCGCAGTCAAGTGGCCTCTAGTCTGTTGTTCTGAATGTCTGAGGCTGCGGAACTTCCATTCGGTTCCGGTTTCTGCTGAGGCCCAGTAGGCAAAGCAGTGTTCTGGGGACACGGGTAAACACGGTGATACCACACAGTACCCGCTGTGGGGAACTTAAAGAGGACTCTGCTCCTTACACAACCTGTGGTATCGGTAAGTGGCACCATCAAGAGCAGGGAGTACTTTTGTATTCGTGACTCGGCCTGTTAGCTGGGATCCCCGGTGGAAACCATGACCCTTGGCTAGTTTTTGTATTTTTGGTAGAGGTGGGTTTTCACCATGTTGGCCAGGCTGGTCTTGACTTCCTGAGGTCAAGTGATCTCCCTTCCTGGGCCTCCTAAATTGCTCCAATTCCAGGCATGAGTCACTGTGCTGGCTCCACAGATTCTTTTCTATGTAAAGCTTGTTAGAATTCATCCGTCAGTCCATTCTCCTCTATAAATTTCTCTAACCATCATATATGACGAGATAAATCAGTATTACTGCAATGCTTTTGGAAAGTAGTTAGGGCAATTTTAGAAGATTTTGGGGACAAAGTTTTAATTGTTTGTGCTGACTTAGGTGAGAGGATAAGTGATTAAGATCTAGCAGATAAGGGAGATTTTTGTCCCATGGATCTGAAAAGCAGGCTCATCTACTTCTAGGGTGACCTAATCTAGTGACCAGTAGAATATTCCCTTCAGAATAATCACATTCTGAAACGGAGAATATTTTTCATCCTTGTTCTACGACTAGACACTGATTTGGTCTTGTGTGAAGTGCGATTTGCTTAATGTGACCTGCTCTTCTGAATTTGTTTACAGAAGATCGGAGACGTCACGGGGAGGAACAGAAATACAGAGACAGCAAAAATAAACTTCTTATGAGTCAAGACTACCTGGGCTGCAGGCTGAAGACGGAAAGTAAGTTTCATAGGTTCACCGTCACCAAAGTGCTGAACGATGTTCTGTGTTTCCTGTGAGAAACTAAAGGCTCTGTTCATCAGAATTAATTTCATTTTTACCATACATCTAGGAAAATATAAATGGGTATTTTAACATTTTGTTAAAGGTGGACAAGAGAAGCCAAAGTTATGTAGCAACTTTTCCACATCTGTAGTAAGGTGGGTGTGGGACTGAGGGTAAAGTCTCAGCTGTTGATTTCTGACACAGGCACAGAACCACCTGTTTTTCTCAGGAAGAGGCTAAATCATGTTCACAGGAATCCTCTCTGTACCACCTAAGATCCCGCAGACAAGTAGCATCTAGTCTGTTGTTCTAAATGTCTGAGGCTGTTGAACTTCATTCGGTTCCGGTTTCTGCTGAGGCTCAGTAGGGAAAGCTCTGTTCTGGGGGACATGCGATGGTAGCACTCTATACCTGCTACAGGGAGCTTAAAGAGGACTCTGCTCCTTACGTACCCTGTGGTATCTGTAAGTGGCATCATCAAGAGCAGAGATTTCTCTGGTCAGAGGGACGTCCTGCTGTCTTTGCAGAGGCTCTCGTTGGTAAAGAGGAAGAACGACGGCACCCATGACTTTGTGAAGGCAGCAGTGCATAGAGGAGGGACCCTGGGCCAGTCTCCTGAGCTCCCTCCAAGTTGCTTCTTTTGTTTGTTACTCAGTTTTGTCATCTGTTTGTAGGATACTATAATAATGCCTACCTCTGTCAATTGCTGCACTGAATTAGATGGCCTATTTCTTGTAACTTTCCTGGGACAGTTGTTGGCACAGAGTAAACACTGTCTATTAGTTCCTTTTTTTTTTTTTTTTGAGATGGAGTTTTGCTGTTGTTTCCCAGACTGGAGTGCAATGGCATGATCTCGGCTCACCGCAACCTCCGCCTTCTGGGTTCAAGCAATTCTTTTGCCTCAGCCTCCCGAGTAACTGGGACTATAGGTGCACACCACCATGCCCAGCTAATTTTTGTATTTTTAGTAGAGACGGGGTTTCACCTTGTTGACCAGGATGGTCTCGATCTCTTGACCTCGTGATCCACCCGCCTCAGCCTCCCGAAGTGCTGGGATTATAGGCGTGAGCCACCACACCTGGCCAACACTGTCTGTTAGTTCTTCATTCTACTGTGTCTAGCATAAGGGAAACGTTATTAGTCTTTGTGCATATTTCTTTTATGGCCTTAGGAGAGGCTCCAGACCTTTATAATTCCACAATGACAGTTTTATCAGTGGTGTTTTCTTCCACGAAACATATGTGGCCATGACATGACTAGGACTTTCTGAATGAGAACACAGATGGGAAACCCATGGATTTGGAGGTCACCGTATTGCAAATGTCCCTCCTTTTGTGATGGATTGTGGTCTTTGGAACAGGAGGCAGTATCTGTCCAGTTGTAAAGGACAGGAAGGAAGCGGTGGCAGGAGGGCAGTTGTTGGAGTGGAAAGAGCTCTGGACTAAGAATGAAGGTCCCAGGCTGTATCTTCAGCAGTGTTCTTAGGAACTGTCAGGGAGTAATTGATTTCTTCTTCCTGATTTTCTCTGCCTCGATCTGCAAAGACAGGTAAATTTCTCTCTCTCCATCTGCAAAGGCAAACATCTTGCAGTGTCTGAAGCATTCAAATGTGTGAGCACTTATGACCGCTTATCACAATGAGATAAAGCCCCTCGCTGTGTGGTGTTGGAGAAAGCACTTGATGTGTGGGCATTTGGTGGTAGGAAGTGGTTCAGATTGGAGCATTCCCCATGGAGAGAATGTCCCTGAATAACATAGCAGAAGCCACTTGGAGGGCCTGTGAAGTCACCTGATGTGCAGAGGATTGTGGGACAAGTTTGTTTATCTTCTCCTAAGAGAAAGAAATAGGTTGTAAATATGAGCTGTGACGGGACGCCAAGCCTGTCCCTGGGAATCAGATCTGTGTCGGGATGGGGGGGACAGCTGCCAAAGTCCAGAGAGAGGCTGCACAAGCCTCCAGTGATGTGGGAGCAGAAGGTCTTTTCAACATTCGGCCTCATCTTGACGGTGAGCCTCCTGATCTGAAATGCATTGCCTGGTGGATCAGGAAACCATGCCAGGGCATTTTGTTAGAGAGAAAACATGAGAGCTTTCAGTAGAACAGGGACCCATACACAGATGTTCATGTCCCTGCGCACATTGGGCCGACTGTCCCTGCAGAGTGAGAAATGGGAAATAACTGAACGAACACATCTGTACTTGCAGAAAACGACAAAGACGAGGATGAAGATGTTCGTGTCATGGAGGCTGAGAACATCCAGGAATCACGTGCCCCCAGGTAACACTGAAGAAGCCGGAGCAAGTAATGGGTGGTAAAGTATGGAAAAGGTCTAGAAGCACACCCTCTCTGGTGTCTCCCATGGGCCAAAAGCCTGTATTCCCTTGGCCACAATATGTTCAGTTCAACCCAACTTTGACACAGGATGTGGCAGCTGTTGTGGTTCTTTGTATGTGCTGAGTGCCGTGTCTGAATTATACAGGGATAACTGAGTCTTTTTTCTTCTCGGCTCCTTTCTGCCCAGTGTAAGGAATACCAGCTGCTGTCTTTCTCTCCGGTTCCCATGGCAGCCACACTGTGTTGCAGAGAGGACAGTGTTGTGGGTGATTTGTGGCACGTGTATAGATTTTAATTTCTGACTCCTCCCAAGATGGGAACCTGCAATCAGATGAGCCAGGTGAACTCAGCAAACAGGGATTTCCTGGTTTTGCCTGTTCTCCCCACTGTGTTTAAACCCAGGGAGAGACACATATATGCGTTCTGCCCATTTGTTGTGAGTGTGTTTGCTAGGATTTGTGAAGAGAAGAAATTCACAACATAGACATATTATATCAAAATACTGGAAAAAGGAGGCCCTTAATACACCAGATCTGGGTGTCTGAAGTGCCTCAAGAGCTGTATCCACTTGAATGCCGCATGTAAAATTCAACACAACTTACGCGAGGTGGTTGAAGCCCGTGTTAGTTCTCGTGCTGCAAGTCGTGATGAGAGTTTACAGGGAGAGTCTGTGTGGCCTGCAGTGGCTCATCTGTGGCACATGCACTGAGCACATGCTGCTCATTTGTGCTCTGTCCCCAGGGCAGTCACCCTCCACCCTGCATTTAGAAGCGATAGTTTTTTTTCTCTTGAAGGAAAAAGGCCTTTGCTTTCTGTGACCACTCCATTCTGACTTCCATCAGATCAGCTGGGAGACTTTGTTGTCTAATCCGTGTTGGTTTAATCTTCTGTCATCCCTGTCCTGCCTGGCTCATCAGGAATCTGCAGGAGTCTGTGGAGGAGGAAGCCACCCAGGAGTCCTGGGATGAAGATGATTCGACTCTCTCAATTCCTCCTGGCACATTTGCCTTCAATGAGCTTTACAGGACCAACTTGCACTCATTAGAGGAACAGCAGGTCAACTTGGCTCATGACACAGACAGTGAGTACTCTGTTGTGAAAGTGGTAAAGCTCCACTTTGTGTCCCAGATAGACCCCATAGTCTTTGTGCATTGCTCCCCTGGCCGCGCTGAGAGTTGTCATCACTGTGGGCTGAGCCTATCCATCAGTGCAGATTTCAATCACTCCGGATTCCAGTCTGAAGCATGGGCATGGGGTGGTTCAGTGAGCTTTGCTCTCTCTCTAGTCTCAGTCCATGCCCGTGGCACCCTGGACCAACTGTCAGGACGTTGAAACCCAAGGCGGCTGTTGCAAACTCACACCAAGCTATGCAGCACATGCCCACGAGTTGTCTGTCAATCTGAATTAAATGTCTCTTGCCAGCTACCAAGTTCCTCATGAGTTTTGTTCCCCAGGCATGTCTGTGAGGTTCTTTCCTGTTTGTACAAACTTGGCATAACTTTTTGTACAAACTTGGGATAAAGGGATAATAGTCTACCAGAATAGGGACGTTTCACCATTGGTTCTGAGACACAAACCAAGGAATCTCTATCATGATTGGCCTTGAGACCTCCTGAAGTCTCTCTCTCACGTTATCCTGTTCTCAAGCTGAGGAGTCTGAGGTCCCTGTGCAGGGATTAGACAGTGGACTGTTATGGGTGTAGGGCAATGGCTAACTTTGTCCCTATCTGAATTTATTGCAGAGATTAAAAAGGACCAAGAAGAGGAAGAAGACCAAGGCCCACTGTGCCCCAGGTAACTTTGAGCAACTGTGAACAGCTAATTTTGTGTTGACACCTGGAGACGCCAGGTCCACGGAAAACAGAGTGGGCTGACAATATCGATACTATCTTTTCAATGAAGCCTGAAGTATTCCTCCAAACGTCGCTGTTGGTTTTCATTGCAGTAGATACTTAGGTTTCCTTCCCATTTACTAACTGCTGTAGGTTGACCATACTTGTTTTTATGATCAGTGTACGCTGTGTGTCCTGAGGGTACTAACTCAGAGTGTCCTTTTACTCCCTCATCAGTGTGTCACCTGGACGGTTCACTGAGCTTAGTTTCTCTCTCTCTCTGTCTCTTTTATTCTTTTCTCCCCTACTCTTGTTCATCCCAGCATAAGGCAATAGTTTGTTACGTCATTAGTGGATCTATGTTTTTTCTTTATCAACCACTTTCTTGTGCTACCCATGAAATCTAGTTGGGGCTCTGCGGTGTCTTATTTTCCCTGACTTATTCTTTGGTTTTTCCTCCTTTTTTAGGCTCAGCATGGAGCTGGTGGAAGCAGAAGAGCCTGAAGTCTTCTGGTACTCACTGGATATATTGTATTCAACATATACAGCTTATCTTGAGTTTTATTACACATGCCAGGCTTACACATATGCCATTTTTTTATATGCAGAAGAGCATGTTCGCTTGACTTTGGACATGGACAGTAGGTTTATTACTATGACGGTGATAGGACTCCACCTGGTCTCCCGGATAGGGGTCATATTCCCACACTAAGACAACGTGTAACATGGGACTCTGCCAGTGCAGAGTATGAACCACACCATGTTCTTGCTGAAAACACTTAGCCCGAGTTTCATAGCCTGAGGTAATCTCCAGACGACTTCAGAATGTAGAACAGTGAGCGGCACAGCTGACCTGTCTCCTTCAGACAGCCCATGTCACCACAAATCACACAACTGAAAGGAGAAGAGACGTTTTGGGTTGAAAAAGAGTAAAAAGATAATGTAGCTACATTTCTTTAGTTCTTTTGAACCCAAAGTGTCTCCTCACCTTTTTGTTGTTGTCATTGATGGTGGGGACATGGGCTTGTTTGTAGAGGACAGGTCAGCTGTCCGGCTCAATGGTCTGTACCCTGAAGTTGTCTGAAAATGTCCTCATGCTTAAATTCAGCCTAAGTGTTTTTCCGGGAACACTGCAGGGTCAGTGCTACCTCACCCATCTGCAGGTAGAGAAGGTCCCGTGTGTCTGCCACCATGATCGTGATACCAGGACTTTTCCACCATTTGTCTATCACCATGATCGTGATGCCAGATCTGTACCTTTCAGAGACACCTTATTTATATGGATATATATATTTATTCAGAGACACCTTATTTATACGTATATATATATTTCTTCAGAGACACCTTATTTATGTGGATATATATATTTATTCAGAGACACCTTATTTATACGGATATATATATTTAGAGACACCTTATTTATACAGATATATATATATTTATACGAAAGTAATTGGAAAAATGGTTTTTAAAAGTATTAATATCCTGTATTCAAATGATCATCCCTCAACATTTTATTATTCATTAATCATCCCTGGCTGTGTCAATTATTGTATTTACATCTCTACACTGGAAATTTTTCATTATTACTGTATCTTTGCTTTTGCTGGTTTCTGTTGTTGAACCAAAAAAATTCCCTGCCTGCATTTCAATTTTTGCCAAAGTTAATTTTAATCTGTATAATGAAAATTTTTTTCTTTAAGATAAGACTGTGAGCACATAAGGCCACAGCAAAACAGAGCCTTTGTTTGCTAATTTTTAAGCCTTTGTTAATTTCTGGCTGACGAGAGAGGTAGTTTATTTAATTAGCTGGTAATATCTATTTAAGTAAACAGCCAGAGAAATGTCTATCAGACTAAGGATGTGCAAAGCCCAGACCATTCTCTTTGAGTCTTTTAAACTATTTCAGAAGAGAAGGGAATAGGCAGATTCCACATATGTGGACAGGAAGGAGAATATGCTAAAAGACACAAACAACTGTTGTCCAAAACAGAATAGAAAATCCATTAAAATGCATAAGATATTTTCTCATGAAATGTCATCTCTCTAAACTTAGCCATTATGTGAAAGTCAATTCTTAATATGCCACACTGCATTGATTGTTGACGTTCATAAGAATTCATTTCCATGTTTGTTATTTGAAAAAGCAAAAGGACTGTAATCCTTTCTTTTCTTTGCCATGATCATTTTAAGATTGAGGATTTTTTTCCAAAATAAAATTAAAGATTTTAAAGATTGAAAATTGACATTAAAATTTATCTTCTCAAAGCAATGATGTGTAACGCAGGCTGTCTTATTCCTGTTTGTAGTGTAAGTGTCAGGTGCTCGTTTAACCATTCTTTAAATGTTTCAAATTACTGGGAACAAACCACTTTCCAGGGTGGTTTGTTTCTTTTGTTTTTGTTTTTTTTGTTTTGTTTAGTTTCCTTTTTTCTTTATTTTACTTTAAGTTCTGGGTTACATGTACAGATCTTGCAGGATTGTTACACAGGTATGAGCATGCCATCTTGGTTTGCTGCCTCCCCCCCGCCCCGAGTCACCTACATTAGGTATTTCTTCTAATGCTATCCCTCCCCAATCTCCCCACCCCCTGCTATCCCTCCTCTAGCTCCCCCACCGCCTGACAGGCCCCAGTGTGTGATGTTCCCCTCCCTGTGTCTGTGTGTTCTCATTGTTCAACACCCACTTATGAGTGAGAACCTGCGGTGTTTGCTTTTCTGTTCCTGTGTCAGTGTGCTGAGAATGACGGTTTCCAGTTTCATCCATGTCCCTTTAAAGGACATGAACTCATCGTTTTTTGATGGCTGCATAGTATTCCATGGTGTATATGTGCCACATTTTCTTTATCCAGTCTATCACTGATGGGCATTTGGGCTGGTTCCAAGTCTTTGCTCTTGTGAATAGTGCTGCATACACATACATGTGCATGTGTCTTTATAATAGAATGATTTACGATCCTTCGGGTATATACACACTAATGGGATTGCTGGGTCAAATGGTATTTCTATCAGATATTTATTTCTTTATTTTTTTTGAGATGGAGTCTTGCTCTGTCAACCAGGCTGGAGTACAGTGGCACTGTCTCGGCTCACTGCAAACTCCTCCTCCCGGGTTCAAGCAATCCTCCTGTCTCAGCCTCTGGAGTAGCTGGGATTACAGGCACCTGCCACCATGCCTGGCTAATTTTTGTATTTTTAGTAGAGACAAGGTTTCACCACGTTGGCTAGGCTGCTCTCAAACTCCTGACTTCAGGTGATCCACCCGCCTTGGCTGCCCAAAGTGCTAGGATTACAGGCATGAGTCAACGTGCCCAGCCTGGATGAACTCTTTAGAGATGAAGAACTGAGACTGGGTGTGGTGGCTCACACCTGTAATCCTAGCACTTTGGAAGGCCGAGGTGGGTGGATCACTTGAGGTCAGGAGTTAAAGACCAGCCTGGCCAAAGTGGCAAAAACTCCATCTCTACTAAAAATACAAAAATTAGCCAGGTGTGGCGGCAGGCACCTGTAATCCCAGCTACTTGGGAGGCTAAGGCACGAGAATCTCTTGAACCCAGGAGGCGGCGGTTGCAGTGAGCAGAGATCGCACCATTGCACTCCAGCCTGGGTGACAAGAGTGAGACTCCACCTCAAAAAATAAATAAATAAAGAGTATTCCATTGGTATTATTGTCCCAATATCCTAAAAATAATGATGGTCTGTGGCTTTGAAGAAAATAATGCATTTGAGAAGTAAAATCATTAGGTGCAGTGACTCACACCTGCAATCCCAGCACTTTGGGAGGCCGAGGTGGGAGGATCACTTGAGCTTGGGAATTTGGGACCAGCCTGGGCAACACAGCAAGACCCCACTTCTGGGGAAAAAAAAAAAAAGTAAAATCAACTGGAGTCTATGCTAAAATCCTGGAGGGAAAAAGTACCTCACTTGAGCTCTGTGTCCATGCCTGTCCTCAAACCCAAAGCAAACTCCTCAAGAAAGCTCCATCGGAGAGAAGACCCAGTTCATCTCTCAGACGCAGGAAGGCACAGCACACTCAGGAGAGCTAGGGAGCCCCGGTCTGAAGCTGGAGACAGTCCTGTCCCGAGATCCCGAGACTCAGCAGACCTGACCTGCCCTGGACATCACATATTGAGAGAGAAGACAAAGCCCTGCCTGAGGGCTGCAGTCTGAGGAGAAAATTCCCTGCTCTGAGAGACGCATCTGAGGAGGGAGATGCAGCCCAGCCCTCGGCGTCTCAGCAAAACTCACCTGTTCTGAGATCCCTTGTCTGAAAGCGGAAACACAGCTTTGTCCTGGGAGGGACCACAGACATGGCGCTGCCCCAAGGGGCCAATCTGAGCAGGGAGGCGGAGTCCTCTGAGATCTCTCAACTGAAAGGAATATGGCTCTGTCATGGGCAGCCCAGCCCTGAGAATCTCAGGAAAAGAAGTTGGCCCTGTCTGAGAGAGAAACACGGCTGGCCCTGGAAGCTCCTATCTGAGGGGACATGGCCCTATTCTTTAGAGCCCCTAGACTGCCAGCAGGCTCATGATGCACCCTGGTGTCACATACAAAGACTCCCAGCAGGCCAGGCTCCAGGGCTCACACCTCTAATCTCAGCACTTTGGGAGGCCAAGGCGGACTGATCACCTGAGGTCAGGAGTTCAAGACCAGCCTGGCCAACATGGCGAAACCCTGTCTCTAGTAAAAAACAAAACTTAGCCAGGCATGGTAGTGGGTGCCTGTAATCCCAGCTATTCCGGAGGCTGAGGCAGGAGATTCACTTGAAACAGGGAGGCAGAGTTTGCAGTGAGCCGAGACCACAAGCAGGCATTGCCATACTTTGCCCCTCTAAGCTGCAGCAGGGCCCAGGTCCCTGAGGAAATTTCAGGACAGATCTGAGGTGGCTCCATGGTCACCAGATGATCACTGCCCCATCTGACTCACCGTGGTCTTGAGACGGCCTGAGCTGCTCACGCACACCTGGCCAATCTTTAACTGGTTGGCCTGGAGTTTCCCACTCGCCAGAGCCAAGGTAGAAGGAATTAGAGACTTTGCTCTACTGTTTGTCATCCTTGCCCCCTACAGCAGGCAGGAGGCACATGGGGTCAGCCTTTTCTGTTTCTTCCCAGGAGGCCATGGACACACGTCATCTCAGGCTGTTCTCTTAACAGCCACAGGAGATGGACACTGATATACCCACTTTAGAGATGAGAAGCCTGAGGCTCAGGAAGCACAAGGAGGACCCGGGTGGTGGAGGGACTCAGGACTGTGCCATTTACCCTCTGCCACCTCCAGGGTCTCTTCCCTGCCCGTGTCTCTCCTGAGTCAGGACTGTCTGGCTGGGACAGGACAGCGTGGAAATGCAACATGACTAAGGAAAGGCATGGAGAGTTGGAAAGAGCTCTTGGCCAGAGGGCTAGGAGAACTGCGCCCGGGTTCCAAGTGTGGGTGACCTTGGGCAAGCCCCACCCATCTTCAGCCTCCTCTGAGGTCTTCTCCAGCACCATTCGCCTGAAGCTCGGGCCTCTGACAATGCCCCCTGCTCTGCCAGCCTTGCTTAATAAGGCTGTGGGCAAATCCAGTGAGGCTCTGGCAACCCGTGAAGTGCAGTGCACCCAGGGAGGGTGATTTTTGGCTAAGATGATGGAATGGAAGATGGTGGAATGGTGGGAAAAGCCTTGAGCTGGGAATCCCATCTCCACTTCACAGGGAAAATCAAGAGACTTCTCTAGTCCTCCTTGTCTGTCCAGTTCAGAGCCTCAGCTCCCTTGCTCTCAAGCATCTGCCACCAACCAGATACCAAATTTTTTTTTTATACCTTAGCACAGGTCTATTTTTTTTTAAGAGATGGGGGTCTCCCTCTGTCACTCAGGCTAGAGTACAGTGGTGAATCATAGCTCACTGCAGCCTCGGACTCCGGGACTCAAGCAATATTCTCCTGCCTCAGTCTCCTGCCACTGTACCGAGCTCGTTCAGCTCCTTGAGAGAGGAGTTTGATTGGCTCAGCTCATCTTTTTCAGCCAGGCCACACAAGTCAGAGGTCACAGTCAGTCAGGGTCCCCTTGGAGCAGTGTTTACTGCCACAGCCAACAGGGTCAGGGTCACAGCATCCTGGCTACCTCAGCCCAGGGCCCCTGCACACCCCTCCTTACACCCCCACTGCAAAGAAAATCACCCATGGGTTGGGCACGCCTCTAATCTCAGTACTTTGGGGTGCGGAGGCAGGCAGATCACCTGAGGTTGGGAGTTTGTGACCAGCCCGACCAACATGGAGAAACCTTGTCTCTACTAAAAACACAAAATTAGCCAGGCTCGGTGGTGGTGCATGCCTGTAATCCCAGCTATTGGGGAGGCTGAGACAGGAGAATTGCTTGAACCCGTGAGGCAGAGGTTGCAGTGAGCCGAGATCATACCATTACACTCTAGCCTGGGCAACAAGAGTGATAGATATTGGGGGTAGGATTACAGAGACGGGTGATCACAGAATCAGCAGGCAGTGTTGGTGTGATGTTGGTGGGGAGTCTGGGGTGCTGGAGAGCACAGAAGAGGTGCTTACTCCAGCTGGGTTGGGGGGATTCCAGAGGCTTCCTGGACAAGCTTGCAGTGTTTGAGTTTGATGGGGTATCCACGTTTTTAACAGGCTCCTGAAGGTATTGATTCTGATGTAGCTGAAGTTTTGGGATCACAGAACAAGGGCTTTCTCTGCTGGGCCAAGATGTAGGGTAGGGTGTGAGAGGTTTTGGGCTGGTAAAGAAGGAACTGCAGCCTGGGGGTCAGGACAGCCTACAGCACCTCTGGCAGGACAGCTGGCTCCATTCTGGGAGCTGTGCCCCTGTTCCCAGTAATCCATTGAGTGTGTGTAGGGGCAGGGTAGTCCCTGCTGCCTCTTGTAGGATCCTCTTGGGGGATTAGATACCCCCAAGAGGACTGAGGCTATTCCGGGCCCTGGAGCCTCCATTTCCTGACCTGTGTCATTGGTCTTATAGCACTGCCGGCCTCCTTTCCCCAGCCCCTCCTCCCACCTCGCTGGAGTGAAGTGACCATTCAGGAAGGACACCAGGGGGCCCTTCATGGTGAAGGGCCTGGGATGGGAGTGGGGCTAGGTGACCCTCTGGATTCCCAGCCTGGGCCTGTTCAGCCTTGCCACTCCCTCCACCCTCCACCCCCTCCCCATCTAGCCTGGCTTTGGCCCTTCAAGGAGACCGTGAGGAAATGTGCCCAGAGCTGGGTGACCGCCCTGCAGCTCATGGAGCAGAACCCTGAGTTCATCTTTGCCTTCTCCCAGGTCAGAGGGACAGCTGCAAGAGGCAGGGGAGGCACGTACCCCTCCCTGGAGCTCCACAGGCCCCGAGGGCTTCCCAGGCCTGGGGGCAGGGCTGCTCCTCACCCTCAGCCACTCACTGGGTCCCAGATGCTTGGCCCTGGGTGGGGCCCTCGTCCCTCTGGGCCCAGCTCCCCTCAACCTGCCCACAGGTGCAGCAGCTGGAGTGGGTGAAGAGCCACTACCCCGGTCTGTACTCCCGCCTCCAGGAGTTTGCCTCCCGTGGGCAGTTTGTGCCCGTGGGGTGTACCTGCGTAGAGACGGTAAGCGCACTGGGCGTCCCTCAGCCTTGAACCATGTGACGATGGCCTTCCCTCAGGTGGCCCCAGCCCTCCTGCTTTGCTGGTGACTCTGCAGGCCACTCAGTTCCCCTCTAGGGCAGGCTGGCTCATTAGTCCCTGGGATGTCACAGCCCTGGAGGTTGCATGGCCTAGTCCCAGGCATCCCCTGAGGCAGATGGCCAGTCAGGCCTGAAGGACGGGCACTTTCTGAGGTCTGGCTGGAGCTGGCGTGTCAGAGCAGCCCTGGCTTCTCCTGCAGGGTTGGGTTGGCCTGAGCGCCCGCTGCTCCCCATCTGGTGCTGACCTGTGTTGCCTCCCACTTCCTTCACTCCAGGACGGGAACCTGCCCAGTGGAGAGGCCATGGTGAGGCAGTTTTTGCAGGGCCAGAACTTCTTTCTGCAGGAATTTGGGAAGATGTGCTCTGAGGTAGGCCGAGAGCTATTGCAGCAGGCTGTGGGCAAATGGGGCTGGCGTGCGGCTGGAAGTGCTGAGGGCTGGGGCCGAGGGGAGGCCGCTGGGAGCCCCGGTTCCTGTACTCCAGGACCTTCTTCCCCACAGTTCTGGCTGCCGGACACCTTCGGCTACTCAGCACAGCTCCCCCAAATAATGTGTAGCATAATCTGTAGCATCAGGTGCTTTCTCACCCAGAAATTGAGCTGGAATTTGGTGAACTGCTTCCCGGTGAGCAGGCAGGCCCCTGGGGGGTCAGGGTCAGAGTGGGCCTCAGACCCACATGGCCCATTTGCCTCTTTTCCTTTTTGAGGAGTTCCAGAGAGACCACCGAACCCTCCCCCACAGACAGCAGGTCACACAGCAGGTAGGGGCAGGACTGAGTTTGGAGATTGCGCCTCTGCCTCAGCCCTGACTCTGGCCGCTCCACCCTGCCTCTGTTTCCCTGCCAGTAGCACCATACCTTTTTTTGGGAGGGACTGGATGGCTCCCATGTACTGGTCCACTTTTCACCTGGCGACTCATATGGGATGCAGGGCAATGAGGAGGTGAGGGGACGCCTAGGGTGCTGGGGTGGGGGCAGGCTGGAGAGGGCTGGCTTGCTCCAGGCTGACCCACGCCAGCCTGCCCTCACCTGTTCAGGTGCTGAAGACCGTGGCCAACAACCGGGACAAGGGGCGGGCCAACCACAGTGCCTTTCTCTTCGGCTTTGGGGATGGGGGTGGCGGCCCTACTCAGACCATGCTGGACCGCCTGAAGCGCCTGAGCAATACGGACGGGCTGCCCAGGTCAGGCCAGGCCTTGGCTGCCATTCAGCCCCATCCTGGGCCCTTGCCAGGAGCCCTGCCTTCCCTCAGACATGGGGCCCACCCCTCCTCTGGACCTTGTCCTGTTCCAATCCTAGACCATGGGCTCCTCCAAACTTCCACCCTGAGGTTGGGGGGAAGCTGAAGGTGGTAAGGGCTCCAGCCCACCAGAGAGAGAAGCTCTCCTACAGCATCCAGGGCTGGCATTGTGTGGACGGGGAGCTTTCTGGAGTGGCTCCCGTGTGTAGGGGCTGGATCCTTTTTCTGCTCTGGGGTGGAAGAGGGGGTAGCCATGTGGTCTCCAAGGCTGGGACACCCAGGCTTGTGGTCTCCTCAGGGTGCAGCTCTCTTCTCCAAGGCAGCTCTTTTCAGCGCTGGAGAGCGGCTCTGGGCAGCTGTGCACGTGGGTCAGGGAGCTCTTCCTGGAGCTGCACAATGGCACCTACACCACCCACGCCCAGGTCAGGGACTGGCTGCAGGGCCATGCAGGGAGGGTGTGGCCTTGATCTGCAGATGGTCAGAGAAGGCAGCAGGGGACAGAGCCCAGGCCAGACCTAGGAGAAGAGGTTCATGTTCCAGGAAGTTTGGAGGAGAGAAGTCCAAGAGCTGGGTTGGCCACAGAAGCGTGGACGAGGCAGCGTCTCTAAAGAAAGAGGGGTTTGGGCTTCAGGGAAGAGACGGAAAGCATTTGAGGCAGGTCACCTGCCAGAGGCCTTCTTCATGAGGCCCCTGGGGAGTCCCCAGGGATTCTGAGCATGGGAGGGCTTTGGAAGGTGTCCTGGGACCCTTAGGCAGGCTCCAGACTGATCTTCCCATCCCGGGCTCAGATCAAGAAGGGGAACCAGGAATGTGAGCGGAACCTGCACAACGAGCTGCTCAGCAGCCTGGCCCTGGCCCGCAGTGCCCAGTTCCTATACCCAGCAGCCCAGCTGCAGCGCCTCTGGAGGTCAGCCTGGTTCTGCCCCTGCCGCCCACCTGACTGCTCACAGCAGACACTTCTGTAGCTGCCCCTCCCAGCCTTTCCATCCCTGTCCTTGGCCCCTGCAGGCTCCTGCTTCTGAATCAGTTCCATGATGTGGTGACCGGAAGCTGCATGAGATGGTGGCAGAGGATGCCATGCGCCACTATGGTTAGGCTCACTCCTGCCCACTCTCTCCAACCCCAGGGCTGAGCCTGGAGTGTCTCCTCTGTGGGATACTCATGGGCCCATTCCAGACCTGTTGCCCACCCATGACCAGCCAGTCTCTCCTCAGACATTCGTTCCCGTGGCAATACACTGCTCAGCAATGCAGCCACAGGCTTATGTGCCGGGGAGCCAGGTCCCGAGGGCCTCTTCATCGTCAACACCCTGGCCTGGAAGCTCACCGAAGTAATGGCCCTGCCCAAGCCGGGTGGGGCCCACAGCCTAGGTACGAGCTGAGGGGAAGGGGTACTACTGTGGCAGGAAGGGTGGATGTGACAGATCAGGCCTGGGATACCCCTGGGGGTCTGTGCCCTGGGTGCCCCAGATTGGAGAGTAGCAGCACATCCTCCACCACCCCACCCCTACCTGTGTAAGCTTTCCGGAAGGTCAGGGAGGCTGCACTGATGCCCAGGCCTCACCCCTAGCTCTGGTGACAGTGCCCAGCATGGGTTATGCTCCTGTTCCTGCCCCCACCTCGCCGCAGCCCCTGCTGCCCCAGCAGCCTGTGTCTGTAGTGCAAGAGGTGAGTCCTGCATGCCCTGGGGGCAGGAGCGGTGCTGGGATGCCTTCTAACCCAACCGGGGTCCTGAGTTCCTCTTCCTGGAGCAACTGGTGAGGCGGGGCTGGGGCTGGGGCTGGGGCTGGGGCGGGAGGACTTTTGGTATGGGAAGCCCCTACAAACTCAGCCTCAAGGCCTCCTCTTGCAAAGACTGATGGCTCCGTGACTCTGGACAATGGCATCATCCAAGTGAGGATGGACCCGACTGGCCGCCTGACGTCCTTGGTCCTGGTGGCCTCTGGCAGGTGCCAACTCGTCACTGCCCTTTCCCAGTGCCTGGCAAACAGATCCCAGCCTGCTTCCTCTCTCCCATGGCCACAACACTGCCCACAGCAACCCACCAGTGGGTCTGGGCTGGAGCCCACACATGGGGCAAGGCAGGCTGGGCAGTAGTCCCCTGTCTGCTGGGTCTGCTCACTCCACCCTACCCCACCAAGCGCAGCTGGAGGGAACGAAGTCAGATGGTTGTAAGCACCAATCCCATGTCCTTCCAGGGAGGCCATTGCTGAGTGGCCGTGGGGAACCAGTTTGTGCTGTTTGATGACGTCCCCTTGTACTGGGATTCGTGGGACGTCATGGACTACCACCTGGAGACACGTTACGGGCTGGGCAGCACGTGGGGATGGTGGAGGTGTGGGGAGCACAGGCTGCTCTGGCTCAGTGTGTCCACCCTTCCCATAGGAAGCCTGTGCTGGGCCAGCCAGGGACCCTGTCAGTAGGCACCGAGGGCGGCCTGCGGGGCAGCGCCGGGTTCTTGCTACAGATCAGCCCCAATAGTTGGCTTAGCCAGGAGGTCGTGCTGGACATTGGCTGCCCCTATGTCCGTTTCCACACTGAGGTAGCAGGGGGGTAAGGGGCTGGCTGTTTTCCCCAAGCATGCTTGGTAAGGAGGGAGCAGCCCCAGGCTTTGGTGTGTCTCTTCCTTCCCTTACTCCCACCCTCCATCCCGCTCCCAGGTACACTGGCATGAGGCCCACAAGTTCCTGAAGGTGGAGTTCCCGGCTGGTGTGCGGAGTTCCCAGGCCACCTATGAGATCCAGTTCGGGCACCTGCAGCGGCCCACCCACTACAACACCTCTTGGGACTGGGCTCGATTTGAGGTCTGACATGGCAGGGTGGGGGTGGCCTTGGACTCCTCCCTGGCTGGGGAGGAAGAGGATAATCAACATTTGCCGCTTCCTAACATGTGCATTGTACTAAACACTTTACATTGGCTGGGCGCGGTGGCTCACGCCTGTAATGCCAAGGGAGGCCAAGGCAGGCAGATCACCTGAGGTCGGGAGTTCAAGACCAGCCTGGCCAACATGGAGAAACCCTGTCCCTATTTCAAGCAAAAATTAGCCAGGTGTGGCACATGCCTGTTATCCCAGGTACCTGGAATGCTGAGGCAGGAGAATCACTTGAACTCGGGAGGCAGAGGTTGCAGTGAGCAGAGATTGTACCACTGCACTCCAGCCCAGGCAACAGACTGAGACCCTGTCTCAAAAAAAAAACCAAAAACACTTCACATTTAATTTGATACTCATGATCACTTGGTGAGGTGAGTACTATTATTTATTCCCATTTCGCAGATAAGGAAACTGAGGCTTAGGCAGATATGGTGACATGCCCAGGGCCCCCTAGAGTGGGAGCTGGAGTTGAGTTGTGTGGTTCTAGAGCTTGCACCCCACCAAGTGACAGGAGCTCTGGAGTCTGGGAGCAAAAGGAGAGGCGCAGGGCCAGCACGTGTGTCTCGGATCTGCCCTCAGGTGTGGGCCCACCGCTGGATGGATCTGTCAGAGCACGGCTTCGGGCTGGCCCTGCTCAACGACTGCAAGTACGGCGCGTCGGTGCGAGGCAGCATCCTCAGCCTCTCACTGTGAGTGGGGTACCCACCAGGCCTGGGAGCTGGCAGGGGACATGGGTCTTCCCGGCCGCAATTCCACCAGCTTCAGCCTGACCCCTACCGGCCCTCCTCACCCCAGCTTGCGGGCACCTAAAGCCCCAGACGCTACCGCTGACATGGGGCGCCACGAGTTCACCTATGCGCTGATGCCGCACAAGGGTGAGTGCCGGGCACGGTGGGGCCTTCCTGCAGCCCTAGGCACCTCTCTGCTCTTCTCTGAGCACAAACCCCAGCAGCCTGGCTCCCTGCCCTCCTAGGGACATGGGAGGGAAACCCCCATTCTCCACCAGCATCACTTTCTGGTCATATCCCAGGTTCTTTCCAGGATGCTGGCGTTATCCAAGCTGCCTACAGCCTCAGCTTCCCCCTGTTGGCTCTGCCGGTCCCGTGCCGAGCGCCCGCCACCTCCTGGAGTGCCTTTTCCCTGTCTTCACCCGCTGTCGTATTGGAGACGGTCAAGCAGGCAAGGGGTGGGACGTGTCGGGGGTGGGGTCCCGGACTGGGCGCCCCCTCGGCCTCGCCCACCAGCCACATCCCTCTGCAGGCTGAGAGCAGTCCCCAGAGCCGCTCGCTGGTCCTGAGGTTGTATGAGTCCCACGGCAGCCACGCGGACTGCTGGCTGCACCTGTCACTGCCAGTTCAGGAGGCCATCCTGTGAGTGGCGCCATGAGGTGGGGGTGGGGGTAGGTCCTGCCCTGGCAGAGCCCTCATGGCCCCTCCCATTCTCCAGCTGCGACCTCTTGGAGCGACCAGACCCTGCTGGCCACTTGCCCCTTTGGGACAACCGCCTGAAGCTCACCATTTCTCCCTTCCAAGTGCTGTCCCTGTTGCTCGTGCTCCAGCCTCCGCCACACTGAGTCCCTGGGGCTGGGGTCTTATTTGTGGAAGGCTTTGGGGACTCCTAATTTCTGCTTCCCCAGCCTAAAACAGGGATCAGTCTCTTCTTGTGGAATAAATTCTTGGATGAGAAACCTGCTGGTAGCCACTGCCCGCTCCTTTTAGGGCCCATCCTCAGGCTTTGGGTGGGGGTGGGAAGTCTGGGGTGGGTTGGTTTTCGGTGGGTAGGGGCAAGGTCCTAAGGTACCTGTGTGTGGAAGGTCTGGGTTGCAGCCCCCACAAGAGACACTGGGGACCCTGAGTGACCAAAAGCCAATGAAGAGACCATGCATGGAGAAGCTCCTCCCCTGTGCCTGCAGGCAGAGGGCCCGGGGCTGGGGAGCAGCTGGACGGCGGGTTCTGCCTGGCTCCTGCCAGGATGGGAGAGCAGCCCTGGACCCTGGAGAATCTGGAGTGGAGGAGCTGTGGCTCCCAGGCTGCCTGGGGCCAGACACCACCTCTGAGGGGCTGTCTCTGCAGAGGCACACTGTCCTCTGACAGCCAGAGCCTTGAGGACTAGCATGAGGGCTGTCTGCCCTGTGAGGAGGTAGGTTTCCTGTCCCCAGGCCCGGACAGCAGGCCTTCCTACCTGGCCAGCTCAGACCAAGAGGTGCCAAGAAGTTCACATTTATCAGTTTATTAAAAATACAGCATTTTTCACATGAGCTTGAGGGATGTGGAAGGTGGGGTGCAGTTAAAAACATCACAGCTGTCCCGGGAGCAGCCGTCGGGCATTTGCACCTTCTAAGAATTCAGACACTGCCCACTCCTGAGAATTCAGACAGACCCCAGATTCAGGGCAAGGCAACAAGAAAGGGCGGGTGCAAACAAGGAGACCCTCCTGCTAAGAGGCTGAGGTCCCCTCCAGTTCCAAGGATGGGGTGTCAGCCTTGGCCTTCCGAGGTCTGCGCTGGCCTGGGGGAAGAAGAGGTGAGATGGTCAGCTCAGACTCCGGGGCTGCCCTGACAGCCTCTCTCCCAGCTTCGTTCACGGGCTCCTAGGCTGCCGTCCCATCCTCTCCTGTAGAGCTGGCTGCTGGGGATGCTGAGGAAAGCCTACCAGAGGCTGCCTGTCGTCCCTTCCTCCTCCCCTTCTTGGGGATTTTGGGAGCCTCTGGGTCCTGCTGGAAGCTGGTCGCCTCAGGCCGCTGGGTTGCAGTTCTCTCAGGAAGGTCTCTCTTTGCCCTTCGTGTCCTGGAAGGGGCCTTGCTTGGAGGTGGACGGTCCTGGATGGAGGAGGCACGGGTCCCTAAGGGGCTCTGCAGAGGTTGGTTAGGACTCGCCACTCCCCCACCCTCTTAGGGTAAGGCAGCTGCCTGGGGGATGAAGCCAGGGGGAGGAGGAGGTGGGACGGGGGCAGCCAGGGCAGGAGTACAAGGGAGGAGGCGGCGGAGCAGGCAGCCATACCTCCACTCCGTCCTCAGGACAGCTGTGTGGCCTTGGATTTCTTTTTTCAGGACTCGCCCCCTGCAGGACACTGATGTTGGAGTTGGAGGGTCCTGTCCTGCCCCGGGGGGGACTCCCAGGGTTGCAGGGGGATAGGGTAGAGAAGGGTGTTGTAACCCTAAGTCCTTTCTGCTCTCAGCCTATTACATTAGGAGTAGCTTACCTTTGGGTGTCAAGTGTCCAGGATCCCCCTAAAGTGGGACGGGGATAATTCAGCCTGCATTGGCTCAGGGGCAGTATTCCTGGGAGAGGCAGGACTCACACACACCCTTCCAGATCAGTGTAGCTTCTGCCCTAGGAAGCCTCTAGGACCTCCCCCATGTCAGAGTCCACATCAGCAAAGCTGCCCTGCCCTTAGCTACTTTGACTGGCTGCGAACCTGGGACACAAGGGAGGGGAGTGGCATGACCCTCAGGAACAGTGTGGTCCTTGTCTAGACAGGCCCCAAGCATCTCCACCCCAGTTCTTGTGACCCCAGGTTTCATTTCCACCCATCAGCCTCGTGGGGTCTCTTTGCCTGTGTCAACAGGGCCCAACCTGGAACCAGATGGTGCGGCCATGCTGGTCCTGCAGGGAGCTCATGCCCGGCATGCCATAGCACGGGAGCCAGGCGCAAAAAGGGGCAAAGTCCCTCTCCCCGCTCTCTGACCCGTAGCCTTTGCCCCCTGTGGGACAAAGGAACAGGCAGAGATCAGAGGGCAGACGGGTTGGGAGAAGCAGGGAGGCTGGTTAGACCTGGCCCAGACCTCAGCTACACAAGCTGATGGACTGAGTCAGGGGCCAAACTCCCTCTGGTGATGTGACCTCAGCTGGTGTCTTCCCACTCAGCCATGACTTTCCCATCCTGGAGGGGGGTTAAGGATCCTTGTCCTGGCCCTACGCAGTGACTCACACCTGGAATCCCAACACTTTGGGAAGCTGAGGTGGGAGGATCCCTTGGGGCCAGGAGTTCAATACAAGCCTTGGCAACATAGGGAGACTGTGTCTCTACAACTTTTTAAAAAAATTGGCCTAGTGTGGTGGTGTGGGCCTGTAGGCTGAGCCACTTAGAGGCAGAGGTGGGAGGATCACTTGAGGCCAGTGCAGGCAACATGGTGAGATTCTATCTCTACCAAAAATGTGTGTGCGTGTGTGTGCCTGTGTGTGTGTGTGTGAATATATAAAAGAATCCTTGTCCTGTCTGTCTCATGGGTTGAGGAAACACATTTTTTTTTCTCAGACGGAGTTTTCGCTCGTTGCCTAGGCTGGAGTGCAATGGCCTGATCTCAGCTCACTGCAACCTCTGCCTCCCGGGTCATGCCTAGCTAATTTTTTGCATTTTTGGTAGAGACGGGGTTTTACCATGTTGGCCAGGCTGGTCTTGAACTCCTGACCACAGATGATCCCACCCACCTCAGCCTCCCAAAGTGCTGGGATTACAGGCATGAGCCACCGCACCCAGCCAGGAAACACTATTGACAAGTGAGGCCTAGTCCACTGAGTAATAGCTAGGGCTACAAACGTCCAAGCCAGTGAATCAGGCCCGAAGAGGGACACCTGCCCCAGGGTTACACAATAATTTGCTCCAGCAGAGGTCATTCCATCTTTGGCCTCACCCAGCTGGACCACTTCCTTGGGCACTGAGTGGCACAGCTCCAGCAGGTCAGGGTTCTGCAGCTTGGCCTTGATCTTCTGGCTCAGGGTCAGCTCCAGGCTCTGAGGAAGGGGCAGGGGCAGGACCTGTCTGTCAACGGGGTCGTGTAAAGGCAGCTGACCTTCCCTCTGAGCTTGGCAGGACCTTGGGCCATTCATCCCCTCCCCATCCCCGTTGTTGAACTAAGCTGGGGACACCTGACCCCACTTATCCGCTAGGCAGCCCGCGTGGACACCAGTGTGGCAGCACGTGCTCCATCCCTCGGGCTCACCGGCCTGGGCTGCTGCAGGGCCTCCAGGACCGAGCGGGCCTTCTCAAAGGGAGGGATCTTCAGCCTGGAGTGGCGGTGGGGGAAAGCCATGCTAGACAATGGGGAATGTGGACACACCTGGCCCACCCGTCTCCATGCCCATGCCTGCTTGCTGACCGGTACAGGATCTCCGCCCACAGATAGTTGCCAATGCCATTGAAGAACCTCTGCTCCAGGAGGGCCTCGCAGATGGGCCGGTCAAAGGCCTTGTCTGATAGGTTTCGTAGCACATTCTCCCTGGAGGGATACAGTCTGGGTGCATAAGAGGACGGGGAGAGGGGCTCAGAGAACTTGTTTCTGGGTACAAGGGGAAGGAAGCTGGGAGTTCCAGAGTTTCCTCTGCTCCCTGCCTTGGTTTTCCTGTTAATTGGGAACATATGGGATTAAAATTCATTGTGAAAGGATGGCTGGGTGAGGTGGCCCACACCTGTAATCCCAACATTTTGGGAGTCCGAGGCTGGCACATCACTTGAGGTCAGAAAGGCAGCCTGGCCAACATGGGGAAACCCTATCTCTACTAAAAATACAAAATTAGCTGGGCATGGTGGGAGGTGCCTGTAATCCCACCTACTTGGGAGGCTGAGTCAGATCACTGGAACCCGGGAGGCAGAGGTTGCAGTGAGCCAAGATTGCATGATTGCACTCCAGCCTGGGCAATAGTGAGACTCCATCTCAAAAAATAAAAACAAAAATAAATTCATTGTGAAAGGCGAAAAATGCTGATCAAAAGTAACGCGAGGCTGGTGTGGTGGCTCACACCTGTAATTCCAGCACTTTGGGAAGCTGAAGCAGGAGGATCCCTGGAGACCAGGGGACCAGCTTAGGCCACAAGGAAGGCCACATCGATACCAAAAATTTAACAAAGTAGCCAGGGGCTGAGTGATGTGCCCTGGTGGTCCCAACTACTCAGGAGGTTGAGGTGGGAGAATCACCTGAGACCTGGAGGTTGAGACCACAGTGAGCTGTGATGGTGCCACTGCATTGCAGCCTGGGCAACAGAGGGAGATCCTGTCTTAAAAAAAAAAAAAAAAAAAAAAGCAGCATGCGGTTGTATATGAGGTTGTGTGTTTATCACTGCAGACTCCTCAGGACATGAGAACTTTGTCCACAGCACCTCATGTCTGCAGTCTGGAGCTCCCTGTATAGGACTGGTGGTGGGTGAGACTACATGTGGGTTTGCCATTGGTAGGGTCCACTCTTCTCAGGATCCTGGATGTTCTCTGGCTCTGCGCAGCAGATAGGTGAGGTACCAGTGAGGGCCCTAGAACCCCCGCCCCACCTCCAAGGGCCGTGGGTCTCCTCCCCACCATGAAGAGGATGCACATCTTGTTTCTTTGAGAGAAAGGGTCATGGCAAGACTGACTGACTGATGGGTGTGATGGGTGGGCCAGAAGACAGAGTCCTGGGGTGAAGGTACAAGGGTTTCCTGGGAGGTGCCCTGATTCCTGAGGGAAGCCAGTCACCACACACCCCAGCGGAAGCACTAAGGAAACAGCGCAAATGCTCTCACTGTTTGAGAGAAACGTCAGTTAACTTGTGGCATGACTCCCCAGGAAGGCAGAGGTGGGAGGAATCCAGGACCAAAGACTGAGGTTTCCCTGGAGATGTGCGTGGGGTCTGGGGAGGCCAGGAGTCCACTGCCTTCGAAGGCGTCGGAGACATCCCCGAACCATCCCACAGGCATCCGTGTCTCCTAAGGGC